GCCCACGCACGCACGCACGCCCACGCACTCACGCACGCCCACGCACGCACGCACGCCCACGCACGCACGCCCACGCACGCACGCACGCCCACGCACGTACGCACACACACACACACACACACACTGGAGCTTGTTAAAGGGTGCACATATGGAATGTGATGTTCGGGTGCGGGGAGGATGAAGGTGCTGGCGCACGAGCTCGGTAAGGGCAGGGGATGAACCAGGTAGTGAGGGTGTAGGTGGGGATGAGTTACGTGCGGCTAAGGGACTGGCACATGCAGACGTGGTTCCAGAGGCCTTCGCTGGCACCCGGTCGGCGGATTAGATTATAGTATACTGACCCTGCTGACCCTATACTCCGATGTCTTTGATACGCAAATATGAGCATTGACCAAGATTCCAAAACGGCAGCTGCCCGATGTCGTGCACAGGATCCGAGCTGGGAGTATGCCAACGGCACCGTCTCGTGGACTCAAGACAGCCTCACAACTGATCAAGCATCGGCGGGGAGCCTGGATAGCCTGGCGGAGCGTCAAAACCATGCGACGGAGCTCATTCTTGCTCACCTTCCGACTCAAGCTGTGAGGTGTCGCATTACAAGGTGTTCTTGGCCGAGGCCGGGATCTCATGCAATTCTCTGAGGCAGATGCAGAGCAGCTGGTGTGCTGCTGCTCTCAAGCCGTAGTACCTGCTACCTACCAACAAAAGCAAGGGCAAACAAAAATAAACTGAGACCGAAAAGAGCCGAAAGGGGGCCGGGGCCGAAAGGCTGAGCACTGCAGGATGCTACCGGCACTAGCCAGCTGCTGGTCAACACCGTCTCTCGCGACAGTACCACTGCTGCGGTGGCCAGCACGATGATAGGCTCGGGAAACGATTGCAGTAGAACGCCACTGACCGGCTGGACTCTGCGTTTCGGACCATGGCCTCAGGATATCGCAACTTTGTGTTGGTGTACTCCTCGAATCCCGGCCAAGGGGGGAAAGGGGGGGGAAGCCAAGAATCTAGCTAGAGATCCGACAGCGCTCAGTGGCCACATTCCACTTGTGCTGCGTTCAGGAACAACTACGGGGATGCACCAACTCCAGTATCTGCGGAGTACCAGGGCAAGAGCCCCCTCACCACTATCACGCAAACTTCAACATCCACTTTCACTGGCACGACGTCCTCCACAACGACGTCGCAGCCGCCTTCCTGAAGTTTGCATTCGATTTGGTTCTTGCCGTTCGAGCTGAGCTTGTCGTTCAACGTTTTTCGCTTGTGCGCCTTACACTCAGGACTGCAACCTCAACCGATACCACGACATCAGAGTTCACGGTGGGGGTCACCAACGTTCAGTTCTTCGATACGAGCGAAAACTACTTCAGCATCGGTGGAACTGTGAGTTGGGCGACTAGGCTTATGGCTATGAGATGCTGCGAGCTTCGTCATGATTTAGAAAACGGCACATGATGATATGCAGACCAGCCCAGGACGAGCCAGCGAACACAGCCGGCATTGTGGAGTACCGTGCCTTGGTGGTGAGATGCAGTTCAAAGCAGTCTGAGTCTGGTGGTTGAGCAGCGTGGGAGGCATCATGCACGCGCATATCCATCCAGCTGGCGCAGCCCCCCGAATCATAAAACAAGAAGCCCAAGAACCTACTGGCCCACATACTAAAAAAACAAGGTTCAGGACCTGCTCAGGCTCAGTGACTGCGCAAGTGCTTTGAGCAACACACCGCCGCGTAGAATGCAAATGCTCACTTGACCAAAGTTCGTCGTGATTGCGTGAACTTGTACGAGCATATGGCTTCTTCGGCTAGAAGGGTTTTTGCATGTTGCCCTGATGAGAATGCAAGACAGCAAGACTCAACATCCAGATCCAAGCATCCGCAGCCCCGACGTGCCTAGAAAACTGTGGGGAAAGACTTGGAAGGACAGTGCAGTGTCGCAGCAATTCCGAGCATCACCAGGGCCTGGCAGGCACGCACCAAACCAGCGTGATCAGAAGCATGCGATGACTGCAGTGCCGACATGCTGCGGTTTACTGAGTATCTTGGCCTAGTCATCAACGTTCCACGCGAGCATTGATAGACTGAGTTCAGCTGCAGGGCACACAGACGCTCTCCAAGCCGGGTAATGTGACCAGTGACGTTCGTAATGCGCAAGCGACGGAGTTCCATTGTTCCCCGAACTTTTGGGGAGCTCCCTGTCCTTGAGAATTCCCTCGGGAAGGGATGTGAGGTGACGTGGGGTGTGAGGCTGCGAGACCCAATAGCTTGACTGCAGGCCATGCAGCCGGGCACATGCCGCATGCAGCACCCACAGCAGCACCTAAAATCACCTAAACCTTCAGCCCAATCTTCAACAAAGGCTGATGCAGTGGAGACATCACACCATCACATCGAGTGTGTCCCAGATCATGTCTGCCCGTAGAGCGGACAGAGGTGTGAGATTGGCATTTGATGTGGAAGCCTCTAAAGAGCAGCTGGTCTACGAGCCGTTCCTCGGCTTTGCGACGCTGCCCGGCACAATAGTCCTCAGGCCTTTTCCATTTTGATTCTTGTGAGGACACGGTGACCGGTGACATGCGGTGGGCCACGCTTGAGTGGATTCTACCTTGAGACCTGGCGGTTCGTGCTTGTTGCACTGAGGGCTGTGCCAGTGGGGACTTCTTCCTTCTACATTTTTGACAACACGGCAAGGACGCGGAACGATGCGTAAAAGAGGAAGCTCGGGAAGCCGTACCTGAGAAGTTGTGAAAAGCTTGCATGTGATCTCGAGGAGATTTTCGTGCTGTGATCCCTCTGAGTATCCCGCGGCATGGATTATCGCATGCTTCTGAGTGAGCGTGTCTTATCACTTCTTCATCTGCTCGCAGAAAAGTGCCCTTGTGCCGGATTCGGCCTCCTTCAGGTGTACACTGTCAAGGACGGAGGTCAGCAACAGGCCGCCATTTATGCCGGCCATGTCCTGATCAAGGCGAGTCACTGCCACTCAGCTTGCACCACTGTACTTTCGATGCCTTGCACCGAGGACAACCAGACAGCGCAGGTGGCAGACAGCATCTACGTCCAAGATCTGACTCTTGTGGCGGGGACATGTTGCTTGTGTAGCGTTTTGTCCTTGATTGCTGGCCTTATAAGAGATGTGATCAGGATAATACGCCTGAAGCACAAATCAACATCACGCTCACTGGGGACTTGTCATGGAGCAGACCTTAGCTGTATTTGTCCATGCCTTTGCTGATTCGGGTTTCCACCTGCGGGCCGTTCAAGCATGGGCATCCAATAGATCAGTCCAAGGAACACGACCGGCCCCGAATATCCAGCCGTTGGTGAGGACTGCGACACATTCCATCCCCACCTCCCCCTCCTCCCCCCCTCCCCCCTTTCCACTTCTTCTGACGTTTTGTTGACCAGCTTGACATGGTTGCTTTTAACACAGCGTTTTTCTCGCCTGGAAACGTGAAAGTTGGCTTGAGGATTGGGGCCTCATAGAGACCTGGGACATCTACCTGGCTCAGGAGCCGAATAAGAAATGTATCACGTTGATGATGGTTGCAAGTCCCTCTTGTCAAAGATGAAGCACGTGCGGCCTCTGACAGGGTTCCCAGCTGGCAACCAGCGCGAGGCCAGCTCAGGCATCAAACGGGAAAGACCAGCAGCTCTCTGCTCTGCTACAGGTACATCGCCAGTGTTCCGCTCACCACCAAGACGTACACATTCAACGCAGAGCCGCTGGCTGCTCAGATGCCCGACAGCCGTAGCCATGAGCTGTGGAGACCAGGGGTCTGGCTCCAGTCTGGCTCCAGATCTATAAGACTCGTTTTTCGATTTCCCTCCAATTTGTTTGTTTTTTTGTGCATCTTGGCCGCTGCTCTCAGGTTAAACTCAGGTGATGATGCGATAATTGTCTACGCATCCAATACGGTTGGGAAGGTGGGGATCTGTTGCGGTCAGCCTCATGCAATGACTCGGGCCGGTGAGTGAAACGTGGTGCCCTTGCTCGCAAGGCACCGTTCGGTAGTGCAACTGCCTAAGCTTCTCTGGCGCCCAATAGAAAGGCTTATTTGTGGGTTTGGATTTGCATTTCCGTTTCGAGAGGTCGTCCAATTCGGCCAATTCGGAAGCCTTCAGACGACCTCCACCACGACAGGCTCCATGGGACTCTGAACGATTCCCGCTGTGGTGACATGTGGTCAATATGTGAAGTCATGTCTCGAGTCTCCTCCACGAAACCTCTCACTTCGCTGTATGGGCTGACGGCCAGGGGCCTGTCTATGCATTGTCTTCACTTGCACCGAAGGCTAAGCTGAGCTGACTGTGCCCCAAAAGGTCACCTTCACCGACACGGACACGAATGCGGATTCTTTACTAGGTGCCTAATGGCGTGTGCAAATACTTTGCGAACACATTTGCATGATCTCGCAGCCTGGGCGGGTTGGTGCCGTTAGGGCCGTTAGGGTTTCCGGCTCTCCGATAGGCACAATCACTTGGCAGCCTCCCGTGGATCCATCGTCACTGACTTCGCCCGATCCTCAGCCTCCACCAAAGCCGGAGCTCTGACAACCTGTTCGCTCAACGAAGCTGTACGACAGGTATAACATCTACATGGCCAGTGACCAGCAGGGCAGCGTGCTGGCGGCAACTAGTGAAGCTGGGCGTCGGAAGTGGGTGAGAGAGACCATGCCCTTCGTGTCCTGCACACCGGTCCTCGCCATTCCTGGCCACTCGTGACCAAAACAGCCAGAACATTGTGCCCTGCCCCTCGTGATACTGCGTGGGATCGCTTGCTAGCTAGTGGACTAGTTGTAGAGCCGTCTATTATTCAAGGCCTGCTTTTCACAGGCTGTATAGAATTTCGCTTCCACGAAGCCAACCCTTCCCCCCGACCATCCCCAGCTGTCCACGGCTTGTAGCCAATGCAGAGCAAACATCACAAAGCCCGTCGACCTCCTGTTTGCGATATGCCCAGTTGCAGGCCAGCAGGCTCAACTCGCTGTGGTGGCGTCGCCAACAACCACATACACAATATCTACGCCGGCCACGAGAACGTGCGAGCCTGAAGTTCGCCCAAAAGTAGAACTGCAGGCAATGGTGCCATTCTCCAAGGACGGGCAGTGCACCTCCGGCAAACTGGTTGCTGGTGTATCCGAGCACTGTCCTGCTCTGAGCATCTACCTTCGGTCTGCGGTTTTTCTACGGTGCCACTCAATACTCTCTGCTGAAGCGCTGACAGGGTGGGTCCCTCTCCTGGATGGAAGCAGCCAGCTTGCCGTTGCAGCAGCCACAGACGCCAGACGCGTGAACACGGCACATGCTTGCCGCATTGCCCTGATGAGGTCTGGTGTTAAACACAATGTAGACCCCACCGCATATGTGAACAACAGTCAACATGTTTCGCATTCGAAGGACGCCCGCAGTATGCAAAGGGAACGGAACAGTTGCAAGTATCGCAATTGTAGAGGACCCCTGCTCTGCCGCGCGGTCAAGATGAGGTATGACAACAGTGGTGCCGTGCCTGCGCAGCCAACCTTTGATACCGTCTCGTTCGTTGATGAGGACCAGAGTCTCGATGCTTCAGGGCAGGTGTGCAGCGGTGTGCAGGTGGTTCCACGTGTTGGTTAAAGGATCCCACAGGCAACTTCGCCTCGGGAACTGTCAGGCCTGCTATGGCCTGCTCGTGTCTTTGGCGTCGATTCTGCATCTCTTGTGCCCGATCTGGATGTACCTTTCGGCGTGATAGCCGATAGCCTCAGATGAAGGTGGACACTGGCCGCTAACACCGACTTCGGGCACATCACGCATTACTCTGTTTACCTTGCCGAGGACCAGGCTGCAGAACACATCATGCTCTTTTGTTGGCTTGTGTGTTCTTGTTTGTCGGTTTGTTTACGGCCTATGTTTGCTTGATTCGTTTGTGTAGAGCTGTTCGTCGTGGCAGTCGATGCACCAGCCATGTCTTCATATACCCGACCGGTCCAGTGCGCCGTCGTTTATGGTCCAGTGTATGCTCGTCACTGTTCGGGAGGTTACCACTACTAGTAGGGGACGTGTCCTAGTTGACGGTGTGTTGTTTTTCATTATTCTTCATGTTTCTTCATTTTCGTGCGTTTTCGCTGCGTTTCCATACTTTCTAGGATTCTAGAAATTGAACGCTGCTTTTTCCTTCCGAAAACTTTAAGGTCCAGGCTGTTGGGAGCCACTGAAACTTCTACATTTTCGGCTAGTCCTGTTGGCTTTTAGGCTGGCGTTTCGCTTTGGCCCTCAACCGCACTTCGAGTTCCAAGCCCTCATAGACCTTAAACCCCGAAGCCGAACCCATAAACCCTGAGACCCCTAACACCCTTAACCCTCAACCCCTCAACCTTACAACCCTAAACCCCCAACCCTAAAACCCTCAACCTCACGTTCTCTGGGGGGCCCCAGCAACAACAGACACAGTAGTGACACATTTGAAACACATTTGAATCTGTACATCGTCCCGAAATGTTACCCTGCAGTGCGGCTGGACTGCTTGGCGGGTGGCAAAAAAACCCTCAACCTACAATCAAAACCCCTAAACCCTGAACCCCTAGACCCTAAACTCCGAAATCTGAACCCTTAAACCCTAAACGCCTAAGCCCCAAAACCCTTGAATCCTTTAAACCCGAAACCGTAATCCTTTAAACCCGAAACCTTAAACCCCTGCACCCTGAAACAGTACACCCTGAAATCCTCAAGCCCCGCAAATTCTCACGTACCACTCATCAAAACAGCCAACACTGTCACAACAAAAGAGATGGAGAAAGAGATGGAGAGCGCAAGAAAAGGAAGGACACAACAACGTTCAATTTGTAGAAAGCATGGAACTGCAGCGAAAAGGCAGTGACGTGCGTTTTGCACTATAGGGTGAAGCCGGCCGGGCACCAGGAGGCAAGACGACCCCAGCCTCCTGGCACCCATTTTGCGCATTTTCAGTTCACTGAACTCAGGCTCTTTTCCTTTAGGGGGTTGGGGTGGGGGTGCTTGAAAAAGCGACAAGTTTGGGAGACAAGAACCTCAAGCGCACCAGGGACACACTGGAGGCTGAGTTGCGGCAAACTACGAGCACAAACATGACTCCGAAACGCACCTCACCGCCACTGCGCACCCCCCACCCCCCCCCCCGCCCCACAGTCGTTTCACTACTAGTTGGTGCTAGTAGTACGAGCAGTACTAGTAGTAGGAGTAGGAGGAGTCATTGACAGGCAGTTGACAGGGCACTTGCTGAGCAAAAAGAACGCGTCCCGAATGTGCCCTGTGTTTTTTTGCGCCAGCTGCGTAAGGAAATGAAGAGCAAACGCGCCCAGAGTGCCCGTGTTTTTTCCTGGGCCAGCTGCGTGTTGAACCAAAAGCATAGCGCCATGTTCTCTTTTTGGTCAGCCAGCCGCGTGCACAACAAAAAAACTGTGCCGAACAAGCACAGAACGAAACAGAAAAAGCACGCTTGCCCAGCAGACCCCGCCGACAATCCCGCATGGAATCCCGCTTCCGCTTCGCTTCTTCGTCGTGGGAATTTCTTATTTTCCTTGCTGGCGCCCTCTCTCCTCTTCGATCCTTGATATTCTCCTTTGCGTCCGCGAGGCGGGCCTGAACAAGATTGCCTTCGGTGATCCGGTCTCATGGGATGTCGCGGAAGTGGTCGTGTCTACAGGCCTGGTTAATTGATTGAATCGCAGTTTGTGGCCTGTGCGACACGAATGGTCAGGCATCGAGCTGAACAGCCGGTCACATGTCGGGTGCTTGAAGTGACGATAATCTGACGATAGAGGCGAGAAATCCCATACCCAAACGGCAAGGATCTTGTCACTGAGGTGGTGATCTATGCAACAAATTCGTACGGAGACTCTCTCTTACCAGGCACAAGAATCTAGCATTGTCCGATTTGAGATGGCAACTGAGCCACACTCAGGCAACATCGTATCTCCCACCGGAACATCCTTCGAGTTTGCGGATCTGGGAGGATCAACCACCACCAGCTCTACGAGCCACTGCAGCTATTGAGCCTGCGCAGTTTTTGTTTTGAAGCCTACAAGGGCGTGGATGCAATGTAAGCTCGCTTTTCACTCAGGACTGCAACCTCAACCGGCACCACGACATCAGAGTTCACGGTGAGGGTCACCAACGTTCAGTTCTTCGATACGAACGAAGACTACTTCCGCATCGGTGGAACTGTGAGTTGGGCGACTAGGCTTATGGCTATGAGATGCTGCGAGCTTCGTCATGATTTAGAAAACGGCACATGAAGATATGCAGACCAGCCCAGGACGAGCCAGCGAACACAGCCGGCATTGTGGAGTACCGTGCCTTGGTGGTGAGATGCAGTTCAAAGCAGTCTGAGTCTGGTGGTTGAGCAGCGTGGGAGGCATCATGCACGCGCATATCCATCCAGCTGGCGCAGCCCCCCGAATCATAAAACAAGAAGCCCAAGAACCTACTGGCCCACATACGAAAAAAAAACAATGTTCAGGACCTGCTCAGGCTCAGTGACTGCGCAAGTGCTTTGAGCAACACACCGCCGCGTAGAATGCAAATGCTCACTTGACCAAAGTTCGTCGTGATTGCGTGAACTTGTACGAGCATATGGCTTCTTCGGCTAGAAGGGTTTTTGCATGTTGCCCTGATGAGTATGCAGCCATCTCTAAATACAATCTAAATGCAAGACAGCAAGACTCAACATCCAGATCCAAGCACGTGCCTAGAAAACTGTGGGGAAAGACTTGGAAGGACAGTGTCGCAGCAATTCCGAGCATCACCAGGGCCTGGCAGGCACGCACCAAACCAGCGTGATCAGAAGCATGCGATGACTGCAGTGCCGACATGCTGCGGTTTACTGAGTATCCTGGCCTAGTCATCAACATTCCACAACGCGAGCATTGATGGACTGAGTTCAGCTGCAGGGCACACAGACGCTCTCCAAGCCGGGTGATGTGACCAGTGACGTTCGTAATGCGCAAGCGACGGAGTTCCATTGTTCCCCGAACTTTTGGGGAGCTCCCTGTCCTTGAGAAGTCCTCGGGAGGGGATGTGAGGTGACGTGGGGTGTGAGGCTGCGAGACCCAATAGCTTGACTGCAGGCCATGCAGCCGGGCACATGCCGCATGCAGCACCCACAGCAGCACATAAAATCACCTAAACCTTCAGCCCAATCTTCAACAGAGGCTGATGCAGTGGAGACATCACACCATCACATCGAGTGTGTCCCAGATCATGTCTGCCCGTAGAGCGGACAGAGGTGTGAGATTGGCATTTGACGTGGAAGCGTCTAGAGAGCAGCTGGTCTACGAGCCGAACCTCGGCTTCGCGACGCTGCCCGGCGCAATAGTTCTCAGGCCTTTTCCATTTGGATTTTTGTGAGGAAAAGGTGACAGGTGACATGCGGTGGGCAACGCTGTAGCGGATTCTACCTTGAGACCTGGGGGTTCGTGCTTGTTGCACTGAGGGCTGTGCCAGTGGGGACTTCTTCCTTCTACATTCTTGACAACACGGCAAGGACACGGAACGACGCGTAAAAGAGGAAGCTCGGGAAGCCGTACCTGAGAAGTTGTGAAAGCTTGCATGTGATCTCGAGGAGATTTTCGTGCTGTGATCCCTCTGAGTATCCCGCGGCATGGATTGTCGCATGCTCCTGAGAGATCTCCTGAGTCAGCGTGTCTTATCGCAGCAAGTTTTTCTTCATCTGCTCGCAGAAAAGGGCCCTTGTGCCGGATTCGGACTCTTTCAGGTGTACGCTGTCAAGGACGGAGGTCAGCAACAGGCCGCCATTTGCGCCGGCCATGTCCTGATCAAGGCGAGTCGCTGCCACTCAGCTTGCACCCGCCACTGTACTTTCGATGCCTCATTGCACCGAGGACAACCAGACAGCGCAGGTGGCAGACAGCATCTACGTCCAAGATCTGACTCTTGTGGCGGGGACATGTTGCTTGTGTAGCGTTTTGTCCTTGATTGCTGGCCTTAGAGATGTGATCAGGATAATACGCCTGAAGCACAAATCAACATCACGCTCACTGGGGACTTGTCATGGAGCAGACCTTAGCTGTATTTGTCCATGCCTTTGCTGATTCGGGTTTCCACCTGCGGGCCGTTCAAGCATGGGCATCCAATAGATCAGTCCAAGGAACACGACCGGCCCCGAATATCCAGCCGTTGGTGAGGACTGCGACACATTCCATCCCCACCTCCCCCTCCTCCCCCCCTCCCCCCTTTCCACTTCTTCTGACGTTTTGTTGACCAGCTTGACATGGTTGCTTTTAACACGGCGTTTTTCTCGCCTGGAAACGTGAAAGTTGGCTTGAGGATTGGGGCCTCATAGAGACCTGGGACATCTACCTGGCTCAGGAGCCGAATAAGAAATGTATCACGTTGATGATGGTTGCAAGTCCCTCTTGTCAAAGATGAAGCACCTGCGGCCTCTGACAGGGTTCCCAGCTGGCAACCAGCGCGAGGCCAGCTCAGGCATCAAACGGGAAAGACCAGCAGCTCTCTGCTCTGCTACAGGTACATCGCCAGTGTTCCGCTCACCACCAAGACGTACACATTCAACGCAGAGCCGCTGGCTGCTCAGATGCCCGACAGCCGTAGCCATGAGCTGTGGAGACCAGGGGTCTGGCTCCAGTCTGGCTCCAGATCTATAAGACTCGTTTTTCGATTTCCCTCCAATTTGTTTGTTTTTTTGTGCATCTTGGCCGCTGCTCTCAGGTTAAACTCAGGTGATGATGCGATAATTGTCTACGCATCCAATACGGTTGGGAAGGTGGGGATCTGTTGCGGTCAGCCTCATGCAATGACTCGGGCCGGTGAGTGAAACGTGGTGCCCTTGCTCGCAAGGCACCGTTCGGTAGTGCAACTGCCTAAGCTTCTCTGGCGCCCAATAGAAAGGCTTATTTGTGGGTTTGGATTTGCATTTCCGTTTCGAGAGGTCGTCCAATTCGGCCAATTCGGAAGCCTTCAGACGACCTCCACCACGACAGGCTCCATGGGACTCCGAACGATTCTGGCTGTGGTGACATGTGGTCAATATGTGAAGTCATGTCTCGAGTCTCCTCCACGTCGACGAAACCTCTCACTTCGCTGTATGGGCTGACTGCCAGGGGCCTGTCTATGCATTGTCTTCACTTGCACCGAAGGCTAAGCTGTGCTGACTGTGCCCCAAAAGGTCACCTTCACCGACACGGACACGAATGCGGATTCTTTACTAGGTGCCTAATGGCGTGTGCAAATACTTTGCGAACACTTGCATGATCTCGCAGCCTGGGCGGGTTGGTGCCATTAGGGTTTCCGGCTCTCCGATAGGCACAATCACTTGGCAGCCTCCCGTGGATCCATCGTCACTGACTTCGCCCGATCCTCAGCCTCCACCAAAGCCGGAGCTCTGACAACCTGTTCGCTCAACGAAGCTGTACGACAGGTATAACATCTACATGGCCAGTGACCAGCAGGGCAGCGTGCTGGCGGCAACTAGTGAAGCTGGGCGCCGGAAGTGGGTGAGAGAGACACGCCCAACTTCTTGCCCATGCCCTTCGTGTCCTGCACACCGGTCCTCGCCATTCCTGGCCACACGTGACAAAACAGCCAGAACATTGTGCCCTGCCCCTCGTGATACTGCGTGGGATCGCTTGCTAGCTAGTGGACTAGTTGTAGAGCCGTCTGTCTCATTCGCAGGATCTTGATTATTCAAGGCCTGCTTTTCACAGAAGCTGTATAGAATATCGCTTCCACGAAGCCAACCCTTCCCCCCGACCATCCCCAGCTGTCCACGGCTTGTAGCCAATGCAGAGCATCCGTCGAAAACGTGAACTTGAATCATTCAACATCGCAAAGCCCGTCGACCTCCTGTTTGCGATATGCTCAGTTGCAGGCCAGCAGGCTCCACTCGCTGTGGTAGCGTCGCCAACAACCACATACACAATATCTACGCCGGCCACGAGAACGTGCGAGCCTGAAGTTCGCCGAAAGTAGAACTGCACGCGATGGTGCCTTTCTCCAAGGACGGGCAGTGCATCTCCGGCAAACTGGTTGCTGGTGTATCCGAGCACTGTCCTGCTCTGAGCATCTACCTTCGGGATGTCAGGGTTCTGCGGTTTTTCTACGGTGCTACTCTGTAGTCTCTGCTGAAGCGCTGACAGGGTGGGTCCCTCTCCTGGATGGATGCAGCCAGCTTGCCGTTGCAGCAGCCACAGACGCCAGACGCGTGAACACGGCACATGCTTGCCGCATTGCCCTGATGAGGTCTGGTGTTAAACACCATGTAGACCCCACCGCATGTGTGAACAACAGTCAACATGTTTCGCATTCAAAGGATGCCCGCAGTATGCAAAGGGAAGGGAGCAGTTGCAAGTATCGCAATTGTAGAGGACCCCTGCTCTGCCACGCGGTCAAGATGAGGTATGACAACAGTGGTGCCGTGCCTGCGCAGCCAACCTTTGATACCGTCTCGTTCGTTGATGAGGACCAGAGTCTCGATGCTTCAGGGCATGTGTGCAGAGGTGTGCAGGTGGTTCCACGTGTTGGTTAAATTAAAGGATCCCACAGGCAACTTCGCCTCGGGAACTGTCAGGCCTGCTATGGCCTGCTCGTGTCTTTGGCATCGATTCTGCATCTCTTGTGCCCGATCTGGATGTACCTTTGTGCGTGATAGCCGATAGCCTCAGATGAAGGTGGACACTGGCCGCTAACACCGACTTCGGGCACATCACGCATTACTCTGTTTACCTTGCCGAGGACCAGGCTGCAGAACACATCATGCTCTTTTGTTGGCTTGTGTGTTCTTGTTTGTCGGTTTGTTTACGGCCCATGTTTGCTTGATTCGTTTGTGTAGAGCTGTTCGTCGTGGCAGTCGATACACCAGCCATGTCTTCATATACCCGACCGGCCCAGTGCGCCGTCGTTTATGGTCCAGTGTATGCTCGTCACTGTTCGGGAGGTTACCACTACTGGTAGGGGATGTGTCCTAGTTGACGGTGTGTTGTTTTTCATTATTCTTCATTTTTCTTCATTTTCGTGCGTTTTCGCTGCGTTTCCATACTTTCTAAGATTCTAGAAATTGAACGCTGCTTTTTCCTTCCGAAAACTTTAGGGTCCAAGCTGTTGGGAGCCACTGAAACTTGTACATTTTCGGCTAGTCCTGCTGGCTTTTAGGCTGACGTTTCGCTTTGGCCCTCAACCGCACTTCGAGTTCCAAGCCCTCATAGACCTTAAACCCCGAAGCCGAACCCATAAACCCTGAGACCCCTAACACCCTTAACCCTCAACCCCTCAACCTTACAACCCTAAACCCCCAACCCTAAAACCCTCAACCTCACGTTCTCTGGGGGGCCCCAGCAACAACAGACACAGTAGTGACACATTTGAAACACATTTGAATCTGTACATCGTCCCGAAATGTTACCCTGCAGTGCGGCTGGACTGCTTGGCGGGTGGCAAAAAAACCCTCAACCTACAATCAAAACCCCTAAACCCTGAACCCCTAGACCCTAAACTCCGAAATCTGAACCCTTCAACCCTAAACGCCTAAGCCCCAAAACCCTTGAATCCTTTAAACCCGAAACCTTAATCCTTTAAACCCGAAACCTTAAACCCCTGCACCCTGAAACAGTACACCCTGAAATCCTCAAGCCCCGCAAATTCTCACGTACCACTCATCAAAACAGCCAACACTGTCACAACAAAAGAGATGGAGAAAGAGATGGAGAGCGCAAGAAAAGGAAGGACACAACAACGTTCAATTTGTAGAAAGCATGGAACTGCAGCGAAAAGGCAGTGACGTGCGTTTTGCACTATAGGGTGAAGCCGGCCGGGCACCAGGAGGCAAGACGACCCCAGCCTCCTGGCACCCATTTTGCGCATTTTCAGTTCACTGAACTCAGGCTCTTTTCCTTTGGAGGGTTGGGGTGGGGGTGCTTGAAAAAGCGACAAGTTTGGGAGACAAGAACCTCAAGCGCACCAGGGACACACTGGAGGCTGAGCTGCGGCAAACTACGAACACAAACATGACTCCGAAACGCACCTCACCGCCACTGCGCACCCCCCACCCCCCCCCCCGCCCCACAGTCGTTTCACTACTAGTTGGTGCTAGTAGTACGAGCAGTACTAGTAGTAGGAGTAGGAGGAGTCATTGACAGGCAGTTGACAGGGCACTTGCTGAGCAAAAAGAACGCGTCCCGAATGTGCCCTGTGTTTTTTTGCGCCAGCTGCGTAAGGAAATGAAGAGCAAACGCGCCCAGAGTGCCCGTGCTTTTTCCTGGGCCAGCTGCGTGTTGAACCAAAAGCATAGCGCCATGTTCTCTTTTTGGTCAGCCAGCCGCGTGCACAACAAAAAAACTGTGTCGAACAAGCACAGAACGAAACAGAAAAAGCACGCTTGCCCAGCAGACCCCGCCGACAATCCCGCATGGAATCCCGCTTCCGCTTCGCTTCTTCGTCGTGGGAATTTCTTATTTTCCTTGCTGGCGCCCTCTCTCCTCTTCGATCCTTGATATTCTCCTTTGCGTCCGCGAGGCGGGCCTGAACAAGATTGCCTTCGGTGATCCGGTCTCATGGGATGTCGCGGAAGTGGTCGTGTCTACAGGCCTGGTTAATTGATTGAATCGCAGTTTGTGGCCTGTGCGACACGACGAATGGTCAGGCATCGAGCTGAACAGCCGGTCACATGTCGGGTGCTTGAAGTGACGATAATCTGACGATAGAGGCGAGAAATCCCATACCCCAACGGCAAGGATCTTGTCACTGAGGTGGTGATCTATGCAACAAATTCGTACGGAGACTCTCTCTTACCAGGCACAAGAATCAAGCATTGTCCGATTTGAGATGGCAACTGAGCCACACTCAGGCAACATCGTATCTCCCACCGGAACATCCTTCGAGTTTGCGGATCTGGGAGGATCAACCACCACCAGCTCTACGAGCCACTGCAGCTATTGAGCCTGAGCAGTTTTTGTTTTGAAGCCTACAAGGGCGTGGATGCAATGTAAGCTCGGCTGAACCTAGGAAAACTGGCATCACGGTGACCCACACTTCAGCAACTACTCGACAACCTCCAGCACTCTTGGTCGCAAGATGTCGCAAGCAGCTTTTTCAGCTTCTATTCAGTCTTTCAGCCCGTCCAATGTTGTTCCGCAAGTCATGCCGGAAGCAGGCACATCCGCGACCGTTCCGCCACTCCAAAGTATCATGGACGCTGCGAGGGCGGGTTCCCACTTGCACTTGCCTAGCTTCAACGCTGTGCAACTTTCAGCACTGAAGACTTGCGTGCCGTCGCTGTTTCAGTGCTGCATGAAGGCCGCAGCGGGGCAAGCCGCGAGCGAGGGGAAGTCCTTAGCGGAGCAAGCAGCTTTGGCCGGAGAAGCTGCTCGAGCCACTCGGCCCGTCGGGCAGCTGTGGCAATGCAGTGGAATTCGTAGAATAAAATTGAAGAATAGACAGATGAGACAGCATTTGAACAGGAAAAGGTTCTCGTGTTTGGTATGCTGAGAGCTGAGGAAGCTGCAGCAGCCTTGAGCCTCAGCATTCCTGAGCAGGCTCTGTGGCTAAAAATGACTGTGATCCTCTTTATTCCCCGTGGATTTCTAGGCTCTGTTGCTCTATGACTCTATGCTCTCATGGAGGCAGCAATGGCTGGAATGGCTGCTGCTACGGTGGGCAGACAAGCTGGGATGAACACCACAGAAGCAGCAGAAGCAGCCGGTCTTGCAGCTGGAGCCGTCGGAGCTCACTACAACTTGTCCCTCCAGGCCCTTAAACTTTAAACAGCCCTAATAGCCTACTATCACCTAGGAATCAGGCAATTGCAGGTCCAGGAGGTGCGCAGCTCGTAGCTCGAGCAGGTTCAGGCAGACTTCGCAGGAAAGGCTGCGGGGCTGGCTGCGGCCACTGCAACAGCCGAAGCTGGGGACCCCGCCAGTGAGCAGGCCAGAAACGCAACGCAACAGCAAACCAGGACCCAAGCAACCAGCGGCAGATCTTTTTTGACTTTGGCTAGTCTTTTAGTCAGGTCTTAAGAATTACCTCACTCAAGAGCCTTGGCGGAGTTGTGCAGGCAGCTGCTGCTGGTACTGCGGCCGCCGACGCCGTCCACGTCTTTTCTGGGACTGCTTCTGCATCAGCATGAGCTCAACGTCTCAACGTCATCACTTCTGTTTTTCCACATTGTCAGGACGCCGGAGGAGCAGGCCTTGGCAGCTGGCGCAGCGGCCGCCACTGCCATGGCTGCTTGGGGAGGGACGCTAGACGAGCAGTGGCCAGCTCAGAACAACGGCACTTGCATCCTGTGCTGCCTCACGTTGTCCTCACGTCTCATGCGAGCCAGTCTATGTCTGGCATCCTCCGAGGATCCAGGCAGCTGCGGCGGCTGTTGCAGCTTCAGGACATTCCGGGGAGGGTGCTGCCGTTGGATTCGAGCGAGTTTGCGAGAGCAGGTTTGAGACTGCGGTCGCCAGGACTGGCAGATGGACGAACGCTGGGGCAAATTGCGGCGCTGGCCAGTACAGCAGGCTGAGTCTGACTGTGCGCGAAGGGACGTGATGTAAAGGCTCTTTCACGAAGCCTCAAATGGCACAGAATGAGGCAGCACGCTGTCGGCAGCTGCCGGACAGACAACAGAGCAACAAGCAGCTGCTGCAGCTGCAGCTCGGATGCGTTTCACACAGGGGTGCCACGCCTATGCACGCGGAATCATATGCCATGCCTCAGGCAGCTGTATCCACCGCCGCCTTAGCCGCCAACGCCACGCAGCAGGCAAGGGCTTCGCGTTGCGTCCAGGACAACATGCCCTCAACTTGTTTGTGTCTTGTCCTCCTCTATCAGGTGGCCGACGATCTCGCAGCCACAACGCTGGGCAGCTTGCTTGGTGCACTGTCGCCGGCATCCAATCAGACCAACACGGCCAACCAGACATCTGTGCAGCAGGCCTGGGATCGTTTGTGTTTTTTGGCGAATTGCACACTGAAAATTGTCGAAGGGTTCTGGTGGAAGACGAAGAAGCTCGGTGACTCTTTGCCGATCTGGCATGCTATGCTGCGTCAGGCGATTGCAGCCGGTGCCAGTGCGGCTGTGGTTGCTGCCAGCCTTGGCATGACTACAGAGCAGCAGATCACGGCAGCTGCACAGGCGGCCATGACGTCCGGCCAGCGCGCTTTAGATCAGGATGCTTGACGGAAGAGTTGACAACTATGCTTGGGGCTGTGTCATGATTTGAGAAAGTCCTGGTTTTGATACGCGCAAGGCGCTGTAGAGCGCACAGGAGCACACTGAAACCAAGGCACAGTTGCGAGAAGCGGTTGCGAGTGCAGCTGGTGCAGCAGCAGCGGCCGCCGCAGCTGCAGCTGGGTTGACACCGGAGCAGCAGGCATCCAAGTAGAAGGCGCTTGGATCGGATCCCCTCGATCGCCGCGTGTTCCTTCCGCAGGCAGCCGCTGCTGGTGCTGCGGCAGCCGACGCCATCAGCGAGCTATTCAGCGGGACTGCGTTCTAGATTAATCAATGGATGCGCTTGCAGTCATTCTAAACTGTGACGAGGGCGCACCCAACATGCCAGGACGCCGGAGGAGCAGGCCTTGGCAGCTGGCGCAGCCGCAGCCGCTGCCATGGCTGCTGCGGGAGGGACGCTAGACGAGCAGTGGCCAGCTCAGAACAACGGCACTTGCATCCTGTGCTGCCTCACATGTCTGGCATCCTCCGAGGATCCAGGCAGCTGCGGCGGCTGTTGCAGCTTCAGGACATTCCGGGGAGAGTGCTGCCGAGGGATCCGAGCGAGTTTGCGAGAGCAGGTTTGAGACTGCAGTCGCCAGGACTGGCAGATGGACGAACGCTGGGGCAAATTGCGGCGCTGGCCAGTAGAGCAGGCTGAGCCTGATGCGCGAACGGACGTGATGTGAAGGCTCTGTCACGAAGCCTCAACTGGCAACTGGCACAGAATGAGGCAGCACGCTGTCGGCAGCTGCCGGACAGACAGCAGAGCAACAAGCAGCTGCTGCAGCTGCAGCTCGGATGCGTTTCACACAGGGGGTGCCATGCCCTTGCACGCGGAATCATATGCCACATCTCAGGCAGCTGTATCCACCGCCGCCTTAGGCGCCAACGCCACGCAGCAGGCAAGGGCTTCGCGTTGCGTCCAGGACAACATACCCTCAACTTGTTTGTGTCTTGTCCTCCTCTATCAGGTGGCCGACGATCTCGCAGCCACAACGCTGGGCAGCTTGCTTGGTGCACTGTCGCCGGCATCCAATCAGACCAACACGGCCAACCAGACATCTGTGCAGCAGGCCTGGGATCGTTTGTGTTTTTTGGCGAATTGCACACTGAAAATTGTCGAAGGGTTCTGGTGGAAGACGAAGAAGCTCGGTGACTCTTTGCCGATCTGGCATGCTATGCTGCGTCAGGCGATTGCAGCCGGTGCCAGTGCGGCTGTGGTTGCTGCCAGCCTTGGCATGACTACAGAGCAGCAGATCACGGCAGCTGCACAGGCGGCCATGACGTCCGGCCAGCGCGCTTTAGATCAGGATGCTTGACGGAAGAGTTGACAACTATGCTTGGGGCTGTGTCATGATTTGAGAAAGTCCTGGTTTTGATACGCGCAAGGCGCTGTAGAGCGCACAGGAGCACACTGAAACCAAGGCACAGTTGCGAGAAGCGGTTGCGAGTGCAGCTGGTGCAGCAGCAGCGGCCGCCGCAGCTGCAGCTGGGTTGACACCGGAGCAGCAGGCATCCAAGTAGAAGGCGCTTGGATCGGATCCCCTCGATCGCCGCGTGTTCCTTCCGCAGGCAGCCGCTGCTGGTGCTGCGGCAGCCGACGCCATCAGCGAGCTATTCAGCGGGACTGCGTTCTAGATTAATCAATGGATGCGCTTGCAGTCATTCTAAACTGTGACGAGGGCGCACCCAACATGCCAGGACGCCGGAGGAGCAGGCCTTGGCAGCTGGCGCAGCCGCCGCCGCTGCCATGGCTGCTGCGGGAGGGACGCTAGACGAGCAGTGGCCAGCTCAGAACAACGGCACTTGCATCCTGTGCTGCCTCACATGTCTGGCATCCTCCGAGGATCCAGGCAGCTGCGGCGGCTGTTGCAGCTTCAGGACATTCCGGGGAGAGTGCTGCCGAGGGATCCGAGCGAGTTTGCGAGAGCAGGTTTGAGACTGCAGTCGCCAGGACTGGCAGATGGACGAACGCTGGGGCAAGTTGCGGCGCTGGCCAGTAGAGCAGGCTGAGCCTGATGCGCGAACGGACGTGATGTGAAGGCTCTGTCACGAAGCCTCAACTGGCACAGAATGAGGCAGCACGCTGTCGGCAGCTGCCGGACAGACAGCAGAGCAACAAGCAGCTGCTGCAGCTGCAGCTCGGATGCGTTTCACACAGGGGTGCCATGCCCTTGCACGCGGAATCATATGCCACATCTCAGGCAGCTGTATCCACCGCCGCCTTAGGCGCCAACGCCACGCAGCAGGCAAGGGCTTCGCGTTGCGTCCAGGACAACATGCCCTCAACTTGTTTGTGTCTTGTCCTCCTCGATCAGGTGGCCGACGATCTCGCAGCCACAACGATGGGCAGCTTGCTTGGTGCACTGTCGCCGGCGTCCAATCAGACCAACGCGGCCAACCAGACATCTGTGCAGAAGGCCTGGCATCGTTTGTGTTTTGGTGGCGAATTGCACACTGAAAATTGTCGAGTGCCAAAAAATGCAGAAGGGTTCTGGTGGAAGACGAAGAAGCTCGGTGACTCTTTGACTATCTGGCATGCTATGCTGCGTCAGGCGATTGCAGCCGGTGCCAGTGCGGCTGCGGTTGCTGCCAGCCTTGGCATGACTACAGAGCAGCAGATCACAGCAGCTGCACAGGCGGCCATGACGTCCGGCCAGCACGCTTTAGATCAGGATGCTTGACGGAAGAGTCGACAACCATGCTTGGGTCTGCGTCATGTGAGAAACGTTGAGGTACATTGCGAGAATTTGAGAAAGTCCATGGTTTTGATACGCGCAAGGCGCTGTAGAGCGCACAGGAGCACACTGAAACCAAGGCACAGTTGCAAGAAGCGGTTGCGAGTGCAGCTGGTGCAGCAGCAGCGACCGCCGCAGCTGCAGCTGGTTTGACACCGGAGCAGCAGGCATCCAAGTAGAAGGCGCTTGGATCGGATCCCCTCGATCGCCGCGTGTTCCTTCCACAGGCAGCCGCTGCTGGTGCTGCGGCAGCCGACGCCATTAGCGAGCTGTTCAGCGGGACTGTGTTCTAGACTAATCAATGGATGCGCTTGCAGTCATTCTAAACTGTGACGAGGGCGCACCCAACATGTCAGGACGCCGGAGGAGCAGGCCTTGGCAGCTGGCGCAGCCGCCGCAGCTGCCATTGCTGCTGCGGGAGGGGCGCTAGAAGAGCAGTGGCCAGCTCAGAACGACGGCACTTGCATCCTGTGCTGCTTCACGTTGTCCCTCACGTCTCACGCGAGCCAGTCTATGTCTGGCATCCTCCGAGGATCCTGGCAGCTGCGGCGGCTGTTGCAGCTTCAGGACATTCCGGGGAGAGTGCTGCCAAAGGAATTCGAGCGAGTTTGCGAGAGCAGGTTTGAGACTGCAGTCGCCAGGATTGGCAGATGGACTAACGCTGGAACAAATTGCGGCGCTGGCCAGAACAGCAGCTGCACAGGCGGCCATGACGTCCGGCCAGCGCGCTTTAGATCAGGATGCTTGACGGAAGAGTCGACAACTATGCTTGGGTTGCGTCATGTGAGAAACGTTGAGGTACATTGCGAGAATTTGAGAAAGTCCTGGTTTTGATACGCGCAAGGCGCTGTAGAGCGCACAGGAGCACACTGAAACCAAGGCACAGTTGCAAGAAGCGGTTGCGAGTGCAGCTGGTGCAGCAGCAGCGACCGCCGCAGCTGCAGTTGGTTTGACACCGGAGCAGCAGGCATCCAAGTAGAAGGCGCTTGGATCGGATCCCCTCGATCGCCGCGTGTTCCTTCCGCAGGCAGCCGCTGCTGGTGCTGCGGCAGCCGACGCTATTAGCGAACTATTCAGCAGGACTGTGTTCTAGATTAATCAACGGATGCGCTGGCAGTCATTCTAAACGGTGACGAGGGCGCACCGAACATGTCAGGACGCCGGAGGAGCAGGCCTTGGCAGCTGGCGCAGCCGCCGCAGCTGCCATGGCTGCTGCGGGAGGGATGCTAGAAGAGCAGTGGCCAGCTCAGAACGACTCCTGTGCTGCCTCACTCATGCAAGCCAGTCACCAGTCTATGTCTGGCATCCTCCGAGGATCCAGGCAGCTGCGGCGGCTGTTGCAGCTTCAGGACATTCCGGAGAGACTGCTGCCAAAGGAATTCAAGCGAGTTTGCGAGAGCAGGTTTGAGACTGCAGTCGCCAGGACTGGCAGATGGACTAACGCTGGACCAAGTTGCGGCGCTGGCCAGTACAGCAGGCTGAGTCTGACTGTGCGCGAAGGGACGTGATGTAAAGGCTCTTTCACATCTTTCACGAAGCCTCAACTGGCACAGAATGAGGCAGCACGCTGTCGGCAGCTGCCGGACAGACAACAGAGCAACAAGCAGCTGCTGCAGCTGCAGCTCGGATGCGTTTCACACAGGGGTGCCATGCCCATGCACGCGGAATCATATGCCATGCCTCAGGCAGCTGTATCCACCGCCGCCTCAGGCGCCAACGCCACGCAGCAGGCAAGGGCTTCGCGTTGCGTCCAGGACAACATGCCCTCAACTTTGTTTGTGTCTTGTCCTCCTCGATCAGGTGGCCGACGATCTCGCAGCCACAACGCTGGGCAGCTTGCTTGGTGCACTGTCGCCGGCATCCAATCAGACCAACACGGCCAACCAGACATCTGTGCAGCAGGCCTGGGATCGTTTGTGTTTTTTGGCGAATTGCACACTGAAAATTGTCGAAGGGTTCTGGTGGAAGACGAAGAAGCTCGGTGACTCTTTGCCGATCTGGCATGCTATGCTGCGTCAGGCGATTACAGCCGGTGCCAGTGCGGCTGCGGTGGCTGCCAGCCTTGGCATGACTACAGAGCAGCAGATCACGGCAGCTGCACAGGCGGCCATGACGTCCGGCCAGCGCGCTTTAGATCAGGATGCTTGACGGAAGAGTTGACAACCATGCTTGGGTCTGCGTCATGTGAGAAACGTTGAGGTACATTGCGAGAATTTGAGAAAGTCCTGGTTTTGATACGCACAAGGCGCTGTAGAGCGCACAGGAGCACACTGAAACCAAGGCACAGTTGCAAGAAGCGGTTGCGAGTGCAGCTGGTGCAGCAGCAGCGACCGCCGCAGCTGCAGCTGGTTTGACACCGGAGCAGCAGGCATCCAAGTAGAAGGCGCTTGGATCGGATCCCCTCGATCGCCGCGTGTTCCTTCCGCAGGCAGCCGCTGCTGGTGCTGCGGCAGCCGACGCCATCAGCGAGCTATTCAGCGGGACTGCGTTTTAGATTAATCAACGGATGCGCTGGCAGTCATTCTAAACGGTGACGAGGGCGCACCCAACATGTCAGGACGCCGGAGGAGCAGGCCTTGGCAGCTGGCGCAGCCGCCGCAGCTGTCATGGCTGCTGCGGGAGGGACGCTAGAAGAGCAGTGGTCAGCTCAGAACGACGGCACTTGCATCCTGTGCTGCCTCACGTTGTCCTCACGTCTCATGCAAGCCAGTCTATGTCTGGCATCCTCCGAGGATCCAGGCAGCTGCGGCGGCTGTTGCAGCTTCGGGACATTCAGGGGAGGGTGCTGCCGTTGGATTCAAGCGAGTTTGCGAGAGCAGGTTTGAGACTGCAGTCGCCAGGACTGGCAGATGGACTAACGCTGGACCAAGTTGCGGCGCTGGCCAGTACAGCAGGCTGAGTCTGACTGTGCGCGAAGGGACGTGATGTAAAGGCTCTTTCACATCTTTCACGAAGCCTCAACTGGCACAGAATGAGGCAGCACGCTGTCGGCAGCTGCCGGACAGACAACAGAGCAACAAGCAGCTGCTGCAGCTGCAGCTCGGATGCGTTTCACACAGGGGTGCCACACCCATGCACGCGGAATCATATGCCATGCCTCAGGCAGCTGTATCCACCGCCGCCTTAGGCGCCAACGCCACGCAGCAGGCAAGGGCTTCGCGTTGCGTCCAGGACAACATGCCCTCAACTTGTTTGTGTCTTGTCCTCCTCGATCAGGTGGCCGACGATCTCGCAGCCACAACGCTGGGCAGCTTGCTTGGTGCACTGTCGCCGGCATCCAATCAGACTAACACGGCCAACCAGACATCTGTGCAGCAGGCCTGGGATCGTTTGTGTTTTTTGGCGAATTGCACACTGAAAATTGTCGAAGGGTTCTGGTGGAAGACGAAGAAGCTCGGTGACTCTTTGCCGATCTGGCATGCTATGCTGCGTCAGGCGATTACAGCCGGTGCCAGTGCGGCTGCGGTGGCTGCCAGCCTTGGCATGACTACAGAGCAGCAGATCACGGCAGCTGCACAGGCGGCCATGACGTCCGGCCAGCGCGCTTTAGATCAGGATGCTTGACGGAAGAGTCGACAACTGTGCTTGGGGCTGCGTCATGTGAGAAACGTTGAGGTACATTGCGAGAATTTGAGAAAGTCCTGGTTTTGATACGCGCAAGGCGCTGTAGAGCGCACAGGAGCACACTGAAACCAAGGCACAGTTGCAAGAAGCGGTTGCGAGTGCAGCTGGTGCAGCAGCAGCGACCGCCGCAGCTGCAGCTGGTTTGACACCGGAGCAGCAGGCATCCAAGTAGAAGGCGCTTGGATCGGATCCCCTCGATCGCCGCGTGTTCCTTCCGCAGGCAGCCGCTGCTGGTGCTGCGGCAGCCGACGCCATCAGCGAGCTATTCAGCGGGACTGCGTTTTAGATTAATCAACGGATGCGCTGGCAGTCATTCTAAACGGTGACGAGGGCGCACCCAACATGTCAGGACGCCGGAGGAGCAGGCCTTGGCAGCTGGCGCAGCCGCCGCAGCTGTCATGGCTGCTGCGGGAGGGACGCTAGAAGAGCAGTGGTCAGCTCAGAACGACGGCACTTGCATCCTGTGCTGCCTCACGTTGTCCTCACGTCTCATGCAAGCCAGTCTATGTCTGGCATCCTCCGAGGATCCAGGCAGCTGCGGCGGCTGTTGCAGCTTCGGGACATTCAGGGGAGGGTGCTGCCTTTGGATTCAAGCGAGTTTGCGAGAGCAGGTTTGAGACTGCAGTCGCCAGGACTGGCAGATGGACTAACGCTGGACCAAGTTGCGGCGCTGGCCAGTACAGCAGGCTGAGTCTGACTGTGCGCGAAGGGACGTGATGTAAAGGCTCTTTCACATCTTTCACGAAGCCTCAACTGGCACAGAATGAGGCAGCACGCTGTCGGCAGCTGCCGGACAGACAGCAGAGCAACAAACAGCTGCTGCAGCTGCACCTGGGGGCCTTTTGTAACCTCATTATCTTGTGGTTCTGCAACTCCCCCAAGCAGGTAGCCTCCAACCCCCACAATGTATATAGAGCAACCCCCAAATAGGCACCCCTGATGTTTGTTCACATTTGAAGCGGCCTTCAGGGCCCGGACGTCACACTGGTGGCCACGCTTGTGCTGGCGCCCCCTGGGCTGCAGTTTCTCTGTGCTCGGGATGAGGGCTGCGGGTTTAAAAGTCTGGGTTCACGAGGCCGGTGAAGCATATCAACCCTGAGCCCCAAGCGCGCAACCTGCCTACGGAATGTGGAAGCTCCAGGCCTGACATGTTTGGCATCGCATCCCAGGTCCATTGCGATGATGTGCATCGGCTGTTTGTGCATCTGCCGAGCGCGTGCCCTATGCGCTTCCAAATCACACAGCAAGACCCTGCTGGAGGTAGGGGCCTTCTTGCAAAGCGCTTGGGTGTAGGGCTTTAGGGTACAGGGCTTTAGGGTTTTCGGCTCCGCAAGTGCCCGTGCATGAGGTTACCAAGGGTCCATGTGCCCATATGAGCGACTACTTTTATTACGTTGCAGGAGGTCTCTTGTGGCGGAGATAAAAACCTTATGTCATGCCTGAAACCTCGGAAAGCGATAGGCCCCCCTCAAAAGCGATACCCTGAATCTTGAATTTAGAAGTCGTTCTGCAACCATGTCATGATTTCGGGTGTTGGGTGCTATTCCAGAGCGATACTGAAAGCGATAACCGTACGATACCCATTTGGCCACCCGAAGAGTTGGGCAAAGGCCCTGGCCCAGGTTGAGGGTTCGAGGTTCAGGATATGGGTTTCTGATTCGAGCAGCGAGAGCTCCACTGGAGCTCCTGGAAAAGGAGCACTCGCACTCTTTAATTTATAGGTCCTAAAGAAAGTATTACTATATTATAGTACTATTTGACCCTAAAGCTACTATACAGGAACCCCTTCAAGGCCCAAGTATACAATTTCTACAGGGGTACTTGACCCCGTAGGTCTTATTTGGGCTAGTACCAACGACATCTAACCCCCAAAACGATGCAGGACTCCACGGCGCAGGAGGCACTGGCTTGGGTCAAGCAGTTGGAGGTGCCCTCTGCCAATGATGAAGATTCTTTAGGGCTTTAGTGTTTGACGGGGCTGATAGGGCTCGAGATCACCGATTGGAGTTTGGTGTGTGTGTGTGTGTGTGTGTGTGTGTCTGTGGTTTCTGGAGCGTTTAGGGTTTGGGGTTTGGTTCAGTTAGGGTTTCGGGAGGGGAGTCCGTCTCCCCTTGAAGTGGCATTTCAACCCGCAGTCAGCACAAGCAGCCTGCAAACCTGGAGAAACCAGAAGTTCTGACCAGGATGCCCGCGTGCCAACTGATCGACCGCAGACACCCGTGTCTCTTCAAGACGGGCTGAGGGTTCATTTCGGGTTGAGGTGTCTTAGGGGTTCTTGCTTCCCTCGGGCTGTGCACTTCCCTGGGCACCTAAACCCTCAAACCTTCAAACCCTAAAACCCTAAGCTTCTAAAGCCCCACACCCTTGGCTGGACTTCACGCACATGCGCCTTGAACTGCGGCGCGCTATGGCGCGCTCAAAACCCCAAACCCTTGGGACGCAATGGTGCCTTTAGGGCCTTGCGGTTTAGGGATTGCGTGTTTACACTAGAGTGTATGGTTTAGGCCAGACAGGGACACAACGAATGCTACAAGGGTTTATGGTGGCATGTTCATAAGGTATAGGATTTTGGGGTCTGTGGTCCATATACCACACTCGGTTCAATATGGATTCTAGTAGCATGTGGTAGGTAGGGTTCATTCAGTCTCCAAGGTGCCTTTATTCCATTGTCGCCGCGCAAGTTGCAACCTGAGAAACCATGTTCCTTCCCGACCAAACATTCCCTACTAAAGACCCTAAACCCTGAATCTTGGACTTATTGGAGAACTTAACCTGCAACTAAGGTTACTCAACAGAAAAAGCTCTCTGAGCCCCTGCCAAGCACCCTATTTAAACCCTGAACCACAAAGGTTTTGGGGGTTGTTCTGCAGGACGCCACACCCACTCCATCGCAGAGGAGGCACCTTCTGGTGTCTGGCCGGTTCAACAGCAGCGCAAAGATGCAGCGCTTGGTCGTGTTTAGGGTTTAGGAGTTTAGGGTAGAGGGTTTAGGGTTTAGGGTGTAGGGGGTTTAGGAGTTCATTCAGGATACTTCTAGCGCTTGTGGGCTTCATGGATCAGGTTTAGAGTGTCAAGGTTTGTGATGAAAGGCTCGCCTTAAGGCCTAAACCTAAATCCTTCAAAATTCCCCAAACCTGAACCCCTGTGGTACCTTCAAATGAATATGCCTTCCCTTGTTGGCCTTAAGGGGGTTCTGTGCATGAATCTCCTTCAGAGGGTTGATAGAGGGGCCAACCCCTTGCAATCCGAGAAGTCTAGGTACATGAAGCGGGTCAAGGAGTTGCTGGATTCCAAAGGGGTGCCCACCTTCATGGTCGATGCGGGAGGAGCCGGCGGCACATTTGGGGATCAAACTGCTCTGGGCCTTTATCGTGCCAAGGCGTTGCTGGCTTTCTGCACGGAGGACTATGGAGCAAAGACGGGAGCGCAATACGAGACGTACGTTGAGCTCAAGTACGCGTACCAGAAGCAGCTGCGTATTATTCCAATTCGGCTCTGCGAAACCTACCCCCCACAGCCGGAAGATGAAGCAGGGAGGGCCCAGAATGACCTGGTACTGCAGACCGACCTGGTCCGCATCGAGGATGTGGGCATGCAGGACCCCGACCGGGTAGCCCAAGAGATCTGCGATGCTTTCGCCTTCGAGGTGCCAGTGACAGTGTAGCGGGCCACATTGTGGAGTCTCAAAGCCACTTTTCTAGTCACCAGGTTTCCCCCTTAAGTTATGGGGTGCATGAACTTCCGATGCCGTAAAAACAACACCAACTCTCCTGCCCCTGAGGTTTCCGCGCGCGCTGATCTGGAAGAGCAGGCACTCAGGGATCCGCCAGAAGTTTGAGAATTGTAGAGTTCGCCAAGGTTTTGGGCGTCTTGGAGTGGATCGGGGTTTCAGGTTTCGGTGTAAGACTTCAAGCGCTTGCCAGGGCGGCCACTCCGAGTGAATTCCAGAGCCGACTACGCGGAAGCTCGAATTCGTTCATCCATGTCACTGTAAGAATATAGTCATATATAGTAACAGAGAAGTATATTCGCATATTCATTCTAAGGGTTTCGAGTTTACAACAGAACATGTCCACGGCAACCGGCCCAGAAACTTGGTAAGCCCCAGCCTGAGTGCATCAACGAAACGGACAGTTATATCAGTTTTATTCTTTTGTTTTCTGCAATAGATCTACTAGACGAGTAGATGAATCTTCTATTGTATTATTAGTAAACTATTTCAGTTTATATTATGCTATTATCATCATGTTATAATATAAAGTCGCTACTTCAGGCTCTGGCCAGTGCATGCAGACTTGAGCCTGCTGCAGGCTGCCACTGAGCTGCTGGTGTCATTCCACCTCGATGATGAGCCCGCTCCTGCCACTGAGCTTGGTGCAGAATTCATGGGGTTGATTTGAACTATGACCCCTTTAAGGTTGAGGAACACAAGTCCCAGCACGTGAGATTAAAAGCTCCACAAAATCAACGAAAAGGGCAGAGGGCGGCCTTCGAGTTAGAGCCACTTGGGGAGGGAGGGGGGGGGGGGGGGGGGGGGGGGGGGGGGGGGGGGGGGTCTGATTCCCATGGGGGCCGAGGCGACATTTTGTGCTACTGCCTGGACGTATTGGAGCTGACTGCTTCCGCTTCAGGACTCGGAACCCTGAAATCGGCGCATTCCTTCCCAGACGCTGGTGCAAAAGAAGGGGGACACATTCTTAGCATGTAGAGATCAGGGTTCCCCCGAAACCGAAATCTCTGCCAACCCTAAACCCTAAACCCTAAACCGAGGAAGGCCATGGGCATGGGTTCAGCGGATCCTTGGAGGATGGTGATGACCCGAGGCCAGGGATCTCTCGGCTCCCCCCCAGGAGATGCGACAAAGCGTCCGACCCTAAGTGCTCGGGCACCATAAACCCTAAATCCTAAACCCTAAACCCTTAAAATCAAAAGCAGTCCAGGTCTCAGCTCCCTTCGGAGAGCCCGCTGTTGAGAGAATGTGCATGGCATGACGTTGAACTGCCGAGCCGTAAGTTGGCACTGAAGCCCAATGAAGGTTCAATGGCCCATAGACCTTAATCGGGAATGTTTTAGCCCCAAGCCCAAAACCCTAAACCCTAATTAGGCTCATAGGGTGCATGATCCCAATGTTGGTCATTTGGCCCCTTCCTGAGGCCGCAGGGTTCGGGAACCTAGAGGTGGGAGGTTGCAGGTTTCTTTTTAGAGGGGGGGGCGTTAGGGTTTCGGGTTTCGGGTTTTGGGGATTTGGGTTTGGCGGGGATATTAGTGCGAGCCTAAAGGCCTAAAGCCTTCAAAGGGTAAGCCCTAAACCCAAAGCTCTAAGCCCGAAACCCCCAAAACCTGCAAGAGACGCCTTGGGAGGTGTGCTGCGAATCCCATGAGAATCGTGGTTCGGTGAGCTTAGCATTTCGGGCTTAGGGCTCGTCATTGTTTTTCGTGAGTGAAATGAGATCGCCCGCCCCTAAACAGGGGTTTGGAACACTCGAATCTGTTTTGTTATTCATGCCGGCTTCCGTGGCCGATGCTTCTCAGCACAAGGGCTACCCTCTCTCAATCCTAGCCAAGGAGGTTCTTGACAACTCTTTAGAATGTTACTTGGTAGTACCCTAAGGAAGCAGGATCCAGAGATCCTTCAAGTAGGGCTTCCTAGAAATCTCCCCCAAAGACTTGGTAATGTTTAGCGGGGCATACCCTGCATTTACAAGGGGAGTTCCCAAAACCCCAAAACCCCCTATGCACCCTAAGGAAATGAGGGTGGCAGGCCATCCTTGGACCCGCTTACTAAGAAAAAATGAGGGAGGGTGCCCACAGCCCTGCGCCGAGAGCCTCCGGCAAGAAGCCAGTTTTCGGTTCCAAATGCACGGGGCCCTCCCCGACGCAGGTTTTGAAGTCGTATAGGCCAATCAAGACCTGTCAGCGTGCGTCTTGTGCCGCTAATGTCGGAAGCGTTTTCAAGCAGAAACAGAGGAAGCAATGAAACAGCTTGAAGAGGCCAAGCCCACAGAGAAGCATAGGGCATATAATTTGAAGGTTGAGGTGAAGAATATGGGCCGCTTGGAAGTGCACAAAACTCTTATGTTATAGTCAATGAGGAAGTGCTGTTCACTCGCACCAGCGATTGGGTTTTAAACGACGTGGGTATGATTTGGGGTGTTCCTGACTTAGTAGGGATACAAGAGTTGCGGGGGAAAAACATGGCAGGCGAATCTTTGGAAACTCGAACGACCAACTGGCGAAATGGGCCCATCGAACCTTGCGAGCCTGTTCCTCGCGCGTTGTTCGGACCCATACCTTTCCCCAGCCGCCTCTTCTTTAGGAAATTGGGTGTCTTTTCCGGCAAACTGCACAGCAATGCGCTATGTGGGCAATCCTCTAAACCAGGGTTCCTGTTTGGGTCCTTTTTTATAAGGGCCCCGCATGATATACAAGACCCACCCTGCTTTAGAGAACTCATCGCTACAATGTGTACGCACAAAAGCGGCGTGTATGGAGAAGTGGTCCAACCAAAGAGCAGGGCGCAAGCTGATCCAGTTCAGGGTTTAGGGTTTAGGGCTTAGGGTTTAGGGCTTAGGGTTTAGGGTTCAGGGCTCAGTAGGGTTTCGCATGATTCTTCTGAGTGATTCGGGATTTCAGAGCGTCAAGGCTGTTAGGCCCACAGTACATGCGCCTAGTACGGGAGCCTTGATTTAAGTATTTCAACTACTTCGGTCGTCTTAGACTATAGGGGAAACGACACATCTTGCGCCTACACTGAGTGACATGTTGTTGTTTTGTGTTGTGTTTTTTTTCATCGGGGTTTGTTATTCCCAACAGCCGAGGGGTTGTTTATATCAGAGACTCCGGAGACCAAACGGAACGGAATGTCCGATGCTGTGCGAACGGCTCAAGTATGCGCAGATGCCATTCCGGCGACAATTTTTTATTTTCAGCCATGGTTTGACGTGGCGCGCATCATTGCGTCGCCCCTCCGCTGTTCATGTTGTGTTCGTGCATGGTGACGATGTGCTTTGCAATTATGATCCTTCGCGAATTCTTGCTTGTGCAAAAATGCCAGGTCGATAACGGACAAGACATGTCGCGGACATCCTCCAAGGATGCCAGTACGACTACGTTGCACCGAATTCATCGGTTGCTGCACCAAATGGAAGAAGAGCATGCAACTTGGTTCGTCTAGAGTCAGGATGGTGAATGGTGAGCAAATGGTGTTTGGGTCGAAGGTTTCATGACAGCCGAGGCAGCTGAAATCAGCCGCTTGAAAGCCGATGTGAGGCGGCTTTCATCAGCGTCCGCTGCTTCTCGCCACGATCGCCAACCACCCATCACGACCGCACAACCTCCAACAACCCCCCCTTCAGCGCCGCCAGCAGACCTTTTGCCCGAGGACCAGAGTAATTTTGGGCAGCCCGAGGGCACTGTGGGCTTCAGGGCTTCAGCTTTTGTGGTTTGTTGGCGTCCAAAGATGTCCAAAATCAACCACAAGCCCGTAGTGATGTAATGTCCGTGCAGGACAACGAAGGTAACGAAGTTCTCGAGCAAGATTCGCTGCGTGATGCCTCGGCCTTGCAAAGTTCGATGGTTTCAGAACTTGTCGCAAAAAGCTGTCCTGGATTGAGACAGTTGGACATGTTCGACTCAAGATTGTCCTTGCAAGGCTGCAGCTTGCGGAGGATTTCCACCACCGCCGACGGGGACCAACCTCAGCCGGCAGGACTCGCCGAAATTCACAGACGATGCAGTGGCAGGATCAGTCTCAGAGGTCGGGTCACGTCGTCAGCACGCACCTGCAGCTTGCATTGCGCGCCAGTGTGCCCATGTACTGCAGATAATGACGGAAAGCCGTGCGCTTTTCAGCCCAACTTTATCCGTGGATCTGGATGTGAGCAGCTTAGTACCCGCCATTTTTTTGAATGAATGAAAATCCAACTCCCAGCCAGCGTGATGGCTAGGCCTATGACGACAATGCCTCCTTCGGGGAGATTGAAGCTTCTCCTGCCACTTTGGTCTTCTGATTCTTTTCCCTTTGTGGATATTTTTGGTACATGCACATTAACGCGCACGATCGCGCACGGTTGGAAATATGCCTGTGACTGTGTGCTTTCGCATGGGCGCAAGGTCCGAGCTATCGTCTACTCGCTTCACGGCCTACCTGGGTCCTTGCTTTCAGGCTTGTTCTGGATTCTGGCGGTGACCTGCTTGGCCTTTGGAACAAGACCAATCCGGCCAGGTGTGGAGACAAGCACTGCCAAATGCAAGCTGGTATTGAAGGGTGAGTCTGCCGAAGGGTGCACGGACTTTGTTCCGCTCCAACAGGAGAAGCCGTTGGTCGCTTCTGTTTTCTGTGGTGCTGCGAGGGTGACCGCAGTGCGTAACCACTGCTGAGACCGTTTTGATTCCGCGCAGGAACAGCCACATCTTCCGGGTCAGCTTTCTGCACCCAATGCGTGGACAGCAGCATCCAAGCAGCAATCCGGGCCTGCATGTCCTGCTGCAAATGTAGGAGCATGCCCTGGCCACTTCTGTCGAACATTCCATTGCAGGTGTGGGAGGACATGGGCACGGACGTGCCACTTGACTGCAGGCCCATTGCACAGACCTGCTTGCTCGGCAGCGTTTTCGAGGCTCATTCACGTGCCGAATCCGTTGCCGGAGACTCTCAAGATTGAGCTCCAGATCCAGGGGCATGAAACGGCCATCGCAGAAGGTCTGGTAACCCTGAATGCGGAAAGACGGAAGCTAGGCAGCGTTCAGTCGCCACAAGCGGTGGAGATGCTTAGCGATCGCAACGAAAAAGCCAAGGAAGTGGGCACTCTTCGGAGGCGGTGAGGTGGACGCTGAAATTGCCGTCGAAAAGGCCTTGGCATCACATGTCATCCTTGTCATCCTGGAGTTCTGGGTGCATGTTCCCGCCTTGTGCACAGGCAGAGACACCAGCCGGGAAGCTTGCACGCAAACCTACCAAGTCGTCATGTTTCACGAACAGCCATGTATCTACCTGCCTACATCAACCCCGCTCCCTTGACAGTTGAACGCAAGGAGACGGCGTGAAAGCACCGTCAAAGATCGGATTGTCGAGAAGTTGCCGAGCTCATCTTCTTTTGCAGAAGTATCGCAAGATTCAAGCTGGCATGCTGCTTCCCAAAGGTTGCGCGTTGCATTTTGCAGAAAGGTTGGAGAGGCTTTTTGATGTCAGAGACCCTATGTCGAAAGTTGTTATGCCCAGCGAGCCCTGGTCGCAGACTATCGTTTATCATATTCATAGATCACCGCGTCACAGCGCGCCACTACTCTCTCTGTCTTGTGGGGCTTTGGTATACCCACCCCAACTACTCGGCGCCTTGTAGCGAAGGCGGGAGAAGTTAGCCAGGCAACTAGGTAAGCTAGCAAGCCCAGGCACCCCTCGGCACACCCCAGAACCCCCAGCTGATGCAGCCCAGGACGTCTCAGCGGCTGTGAAAGCCTCGCGGAACAAGAAATCTTCCCAATTGACAGCCTCATTGGGACCTGCCGCCTGTCCTCGACCTACGTGCACGGATCTGGTTAGAAGCCGTTAGCTAGTATTGATGGCAGGCCCCACCATGGTCGGGTCTGCTCGTCACGAAGGAATCCAGGAAGCTCGTTTTCTGCACGGGTTTCTCACCTACCCGGACTTCCCCCAAAAACTAGCCTAAACACCCCAAGCTCCCTCAGCCTGCCCTCAGTAGTCATTGCTCTGCCAGTGTCTTGTTTTTGTGTCTCTTTCTTGTCGTTGGCACTGAGGAAGACCTGGAGGAGGTGAGGTCTTGGGTTGACGCATGTGTGCACTACATACATACACACATATATATATATATATACATAGATGTACATATGTATGTATATAGTTTGTTTTATTTTATTTCTTCTTGTATTTGGCGGATGTGTGCCACACACACATGTACACATATATATATATATATGTACATACATGTATGTACGGATTAGAAGTAAAATGCGTAAGGGGGCGTGCCTGGTAGGTGGTGGTGGAGCTCAAGCGCATCCACGCAAAGGCAATTGATAAAGACCGGAAGTCCCGAGCTTCTTCACAACAGCCCGTCATCGCTTGGAAGCAGTTCTTGGACGCTTGTCTGATCTTGTCTGCTTGGGAAAGAGTGACTCAGCTGCCGCTATAATTTGGCCCTAGGACTGCATCATGCTGGATGACTTGCCAAAATATGCAACTGGTCCAGTGGCCATGACCTGAGTCAAAACGTGATGGGCCGAGTAGGCTGAGTGGGCCCGGCTCACTTCTCAGCGCTTCTCTTGAGGCTTTGAACCTGTTCATCGTCCAACAAGCCTTGTTGGGTGACGACATGCCCTCGACGGGCGCTTCCGGGGCATATCTCATGGCGTATGAGAGATTGCGCAAGCCCGTCACACGCTCTCAGAAGTGGGTCAACATTGTCACTGCCATGTCTACAGCCGCGATCGTGATCAGTGGCTTATCTGTGGAAGCCTGACACCCTCAAGGGCTCAGAAGGGGATGCTGTCCAGGCTGCTAAGTGAGAAGGGTATGCTGACAGCTCATGCTGCGCCCGAGGCTTCATTTTCCTGGGCCTCTCCCTCGACATCGACCCAACCTGGACCGGGTGGATTGTGCTTGAGGGCCTCTGTGCCGCGGTCTTTGTGGCAGAAGTCGTTGTCAAATCTTACGAACTTCGGACTGCAATTCAGTTCGCTCAAAGCCGTCCAGACACCTTTGAACAGGGGGGAGTTTTTTTTTGGCCCATGTCCTTGGTAGGAAAGCATCCATTCCATCTGTCTTGCAACAGGCAGTAAGAATTTGATTGGTTACTCGGTAAGCCAAGGTGCTTACTCCACGCGGGTATTTCTGCGCCGGCAGAGAGTCCGTGTGGAACCTATTCGATGTCTTTCTATCCATGGACGCTGGGCTGCAAACAGTCCAACAAAAACCTGCGTCACGTTGCTTGAATCTTCGGGCTTAGGACGCTGGTGTTTAGGAGCGGCGCTTTCGCTAGAGCGGTGTAATCGCATAGGAAACAAAAAGGCTTGGGGCTTAGGGCTCGTCATCTCCGATTCTTTGGTAGTGGTAAACGAGTCTGGAGAGCCTGGGGCTCGACCGTGAGGTCGCTGTTTGTGAAACCATCCTCAACATAGTCTTTGCCACAGAGGGCTCCGAGATGAGACCTGGCTTCCTGTGGTGGTCATGGGGGCAGTTTGATCTTGAGTTGGCTTGTCACGGCTTGTCTTGCATCGGTACAAGGAAAGCAGCTTTGCTATTGAGGGGCTTGCGCTTGGCCCGCATCCTACTCCTTTTCTTTGCGCAGCGAAGGGAGCCCACTTGATAGACTCAGCAGGGCCGCAGCTTGGCCAGGCCCGCATGGCCCGCCTCGCAAAGCTTGTGCGGATGCCGTTGCTGGAGGAGCTGGCCAACATCGTGTCAGGCAGATTCTGGCTCCCTCAGACGGAACACGCACGCGTACGTGCACAGACTCCGCACAGACACCATCTAAACATGCCTTCAAAACTGCTGTGACCAGCTTCTATGCGCACGACGATAAGAATCAAGCACATTAGAATCATGACGATGGTGTCTTTGTGTCTCTCTGGCCTGCCACTTCATCAACTTGATATGGTGAGGCATCTTGCACAGAGCTTCCTTCGTTGGGCAGAGTTCTGCAGACTCCTCCGAACCAAGCTGCGCCCAGAGACACACGCTGATCACGACGCAATAGCTTCCGTACTGTGGGCATTCTGTATGGCGAGGCTTGCACACCACCTTGGGCTGACGGATATTTTGGTGCACAGCGACATAAACCACGTGGAGCCATGCACAGACTGCAATTCTAAGAGGTGCATGGGAGAACCTCCTTGACATGAGGCTTAAACTCAAACCGTGGCCCGTGGCGTGTACACTCCGCGGAAGACTTCGCAAGACTTACTGTACTCAACTGCCCTCGCCTTCCTGCTGCATCTGCTCCGGTGGCTGATGTCGGCTTTCGAGCATGGCTTTAAGTTGCGTGTGGCTTGCCGGAATGGCCCCGATGCAATCAAACTGTAGGTTCCCAGAATGGCTTGACAAAATGAACCCCGATGGCACCCGCGCATGTTTGCCCAAGGTGGAGTTGCAAACTCAACCAGTTCTCGTCTGGTCGTCTGGTCCTGTGAACTCTGGTTTCCACATGGTCCCGTAGAGCAGCTTTGCCAGTTGTCCAGGAACATCTCCACAAAGCTGAGTGACCAGTCCAATGGGTGCCATCGTCGACACCGTCAGACTACCATCGTCCAACGCCGAAATGAGCAAAACGGCCGAGCCAAGCAACGAGCAATCGGAACGAAATTGAACTGAATACGAAGAAGGCAGAAAGCCAAGATACAATCTCATGGAGGCGAAAATCAAACTTCACCTGTCGTGCAGGGTACAAGAAGCCTGAGGCACAAACTGTTGGTGCGGTGAGGTTTGCTGCTAAACAGTCTCGTTCGGCCCGATGCCTCTAACAGCGGACGCTCCAAGGCAGCACGGGCTCAGTCAGTGCTGTGCCAGAGGCACCGCCATGATTAGGATGATTAGGTCAATTAGGTCTGATTAGGTGTGGCAGGGTTGGTTGACGAAATACCTGAAATAGCTTCTTTGGACATTCCACAAGGCAAACTTGGAGCAGCGAGCGTTCTGACACCCTCAAGCAGCAAGACCCTTGCACGTGGCCTGAAGCCATGCGCAGTTTGCAACTTGAAACGGTCACAAGCATGGATTACAACGCAAGTTCTTTTCCATGGCAGCACAAGTGTGGGGGTGCCTCTTCATTGGATGCACGCTCGCTGTGACATTCTTTGGAGAGAACATCCCTTTGGTGTTTGTACACATTTCGAGAGTTCAATTGGGGGCCTTTGATTCTTTAAACTTCGTTTTATATTTCATACAGAGGAAGGTAGCAGGTTTCAGGCGCACGCGAGCACTCACAAGTTTGCACACACTTTGGTGCCGTGCGCTCGTGAAATGGCTTGCGGCAGGCTTTGTTCTCAGTGCCCGGGCCCCATGTCATGTCCATGAGCTCTTGTTTCTTTGAACCTTATGGCCGCCAGGCCCGGCGACGGTGCCAGGGTTCATTCAGCAGGTCGTTTTTTCCCTCAGGTCCGCGCGCTGTTTTGGGTGATTGTGACGCTGACCTTGGTGATTTATGTGCGGTCCCTGGATATTCAACACGCCAACGCTTGGATGCATCTCCTATGAAGCCCTGTGACAAAGCCCCACCTTGCTCCAGGTGATGTCTTTGGGCCTGCGCACGACCATTCAAGCGGTGTCTCAAGATACCCTGACTCACTGCGGCTACGGTGACCTCTTTGACCTGGACGAATTACCCGTCAGTAGTCAGACTGGAACCACCTGCCCCTGGGCTACATGTTCCACTGTGTTGTTGCGTGTGATCTTATGATTCTTGTGCGATCGATGATCGCACATCGCGCAATGTAGAGTGCGAAGATAGAGACGGATCTCGATTTTCGAGGCAAGCTCCACTACATGTATGGCGAGGAATATTGCGCTTCAGTCATCGGCTGCATGTTCTCGATTTTTAGATGCATTGTCGGCGAGTGTACTACAAAAGGCCACCCGCTTCTCTGCCACAGCTTGCTGAACTTTGCATTCAGGCAGGTGGGTCTGAATAACGGTGAAAACTCACGGGAGGTGGACGATCGCTGACAATGATTTTCAGTGATGGCTTTGGCGTCCGATTTGATGTCTTCTACGCGGGGACGATGATCATAGCCACTCGCCGGGCTTTGGTCTGGTCTGTCCGGGAGATTGCTGCTACTTTGCTGCATGCGAGCTGGTGGATGTGTGATATGCAATGTCCCCACGAAGGTCTTAATGGGTCTCTTCAACATCATTACTGCCATCTTCGTTGAAGCAACCTTGAGCAGAACTCAGAGTGCGGGCATATACTGCGGGTGGGGTAAGGACATGCGCTGCGACCCTGCAGCCCGCCACGCACTGCCGCTGTCTTGCCACTCAGGAATGGTTTAAAAGAAAACGAGACACACCGTCGATATGCGAAGGCATATGAGTCAAGCTACATGACGGAACAGCTGGCCAAGCTTGTGATGGTCCTGTCCTCGCAAGTGCAGAAAATGCGCAATAGGACGGCCTTTCCCAACAATACCTTCATGGGCATGACGTAGTTACGACCGTTGAGCAAGTGTCTACACCCTGGCAGGAATCATTCTTTACCAGGTTTGCTTGGAGAGTCCATGCTGCCTGGCGCAATCATGACGATCAGGTCCGGGGGTCTTTTTGCACTTCGCCACGTTTCTTGTAACACGAAAAGCCTCACGTAGACTTATCCGTTTGGCTTTGCCAGGGAGACCATGGCGGCGGCGGGCGGCGTTGACTCCGAGAGCCCAGCCGCCACGAACGCAAACCTTCATGCGGAAGAGACCTACTTGAGCAGCGCGCTCAAGAGCTGTGCTCCCTAAGAGATGTGCAAAGAACGAGAGAGATGCGAGAGTCGCAGCTTCAGATGTGCTTTGTTGCTTTCTTGGTTGCCTTCTTTCACATAGGTGAAGAAGAGTTCAATCAGCTGATCCGAATGCCGGAGGAGTCCCGGCACACCCCCCCTTAAAAGCCCTCCTTTCATGTGGCATGTAGCAATTCGGCATATGGTAGCGTTCCGCACTGACAACTCGTCTCTGCTTGGGTGTTGAGGTGCGAATGCTGCTCAACGAGCTGGACGTGAAGCTCGGCAACCACTAATGGCAGCTTTTCGCGGTTTTCGCAGCGTCTGACGAGACATCCTGGTCTGCATAGTTGAATACCACACTGGTACCCTAAGCGGACGGGGTACCCTTGCATTCCCTTCATTTTGCTGGTGAGAGGAACGTGGAGCCTCGGCCTGGGGTCTTTGAGGCTTTCAACACGGACGCACGGCTGGAACTCGGGAGTCTGTTTTTTGGTGGTTGTTGTCGCCGTTTTGCCGTTGCCCGTCTTAAGCCTGGAGCATGAAGGAAGAAGACGGCACCGTGTCCATTTCGGAGCTGGTGTGCAAGCCTCAGGATGACGGAGGATGACGGATGATGCCTGTTCAAAACGTTCATATGAAGATCTTGGGAACATTTCCCCCTTCTACTCACAGTGCTTCATGGGGATTTTAGTACCCCTTACTATCATCCTTATTCAGGACTGTTTGTATAAGGGGGCACATCCCAAGATGATGCTTGTAAAACGTTAGTATGTGGATCATCGAGCCGCCAAGGTCTGGACTCATGCGGTTGCGAGGCGACCTGCACAAGGTTGACCTGGTCATTGCGCAGATGGGCCTTGAGAATCTTCAGCTCCTTGAACCAAACTATGTGTCGATCATGTGCAGGCAGTGGGCCCCATGTCAGGTGACGTGGTGCACATGTCGCAAGCATGAGCCTAGGATCTCTTGTGTTTTCTAGGCTTGAAGTTCGGGGCCGCTGCCTCTCACGCTGAGGATTGTTGACAGTAGGTTAACGCTTCGAAGGCACACTTTGCAGTCTGTGTCAAGAAACTTTGAAGGTGGGCAGGTTTGTTGCAAGGCGGTCCGCAGAAGATGCCCACATCAAGTCTGCATGTCCTTGGCACCATCTTGCACTTCAAGCCTTAGTCGTGAGCTTCACTGAAGCATCCCTTGTCGGCTTGCAAGGAAGCAGATTCTAGCCACTTGGAGGAAGTCGTAGTTGGCAAGCCTTCAGTTGCAGTTTGGCGGGTTGCTTGTGCAAACTTGCTTGGCTGGCGAATCAAAGTGGAATGCCCGAGGAAGTGAAGAATTCCAACACGCAGATTGCACGGAAGATAGGTGCGTTCAACACGAAAAGAAGCGCAACTCTCAGCCGGGTGTCCTCTGAAATCTAATGCTTTGTGACGGCTCCGCGTGGCTGATGCAGAAGGCAATTGCGCAGTTGCCACGGTGTTAAAAGCATCGCATCAGCTGGTTTCACATATGAGGAGATGGGTGGGTCACACAATCAAAACAGGGCGGAGATTGCAGAAGACGCATGTTTCCAGAAGTGCAACGGTCTGAGAGAATGGTCTGGCTTGGCCAAGGCTGAGTGACCAACTAACAGCACAAAGCATGCTTTGCAACCAGCACCTGCTTGGACCATGTCCGAGGCAGTGGTGCGGCGGCATGTTTCAGACCTGTACCGTATCAAAGCCACAACCATCATCAAAAGCATCCTCAGACCCACCTTTGTAGCAGAAGTCTTCTTTCTCGCCGGGTGCGTATCTTGTCCCCCGCGACGTGACGAAAGGATCCCAGGCCTCCGGCTTTAGGCCCAGGCCGATGCAGTGATGATCTGGTCATACTCCTTGCTTGTTAGCAAAGGATATGATACCGAGCAGTAGTGCTAAATCATGCTAGCTTCAAGAGTTTCAAAGAGTATCATGTTACAAAACCGTAAACACGGCACTAGTAGGTATACGCGGAGCATGAAGCACCCCCGCAAAACCCATGTGGTAGCCAGCCTGCGGCTTGCGGCGACCATCATCACAGAGCTACCGGCAGCTGCCAGTTGCGAAGGCAGAGGTGCCCCCAATCTTGCCAGCGGCACAAAAAGGCTGCACGAAAGATGTTGATGCTCGTTTCTGTTCCATGTGCCACACATACCCCGTGACACACCAACGGCATTTCTTACTGGCACATAGCGACAACGCCTCTGCTGAGAAGCTGTACTGGCAACTAGCGATCGGCTGAGAAAAAGAAGCAGAACAAACTGTTGCCTTTAACCCTTGCCCAATTTCATTTCTGTTGCGTTGCCATGGTTCTCGGCAGCGGGATAGCACGTACTGTGGTCACAGCATGTCGCTACGGCAAGCTCTTTTGCAGACTCCCCCGGGCACGCTGCGGCATCGGAAACTACTGACAAGAACGCAACCCTTGTTAGCTAGTGGCACGCGGCTTGGGAGGGAGTCATCGTAGTCAACATAGCCAATGTGTTGGAGGCCGATGTCAATGTGGAAAGTACACGCGGGGGGTGGGTGGGTGGGGAGCAACTGGGAAAACGATATACGCAGCCTCCAGGTATGGACATGCCTGGGCAGAGAGCGCTACAGACGGAAGCTAGGAGAAACTAACATCTTCGAGGGTGGTTGCCTGGTTGCCTGGCAAGCGGGTGTGACTTTGATAAGAAAGGCATTGTTGTTTATCGTGTGGCGTGGAGCTTGAACAGGTTCTGTGTTGCGGCGAGAGTCCATCATGTTCCTTCCGCAGCACCAGACTCGAGAGCGGAACTTAGACACAGCAAGTAAGGGCCTAAAGGGAGATTGCCCAAGCTTTCATACAGAGGTTGCAATGAACCCCGAACGCTGCCATCGAGGCCTGGAGGATCCTAAGACAGACCCGAGCATAGCAGGCACAAGCAACAAATAGAGTCGCCATCCCGGCAGCGATGCTGCCTGGAGGGTCCGCCCGCTTCGACCGCCTGCTCACACAGCTTTCGGAAGAGCACGTGCCTGGGCGTGGACAGATCCATATGGAATGAAGGCGGTGCCTGATTGGTAGACTCAGGACCTCGAGCTGAAAATCTTGCAGGAGACGAACAGGCAGCTCAACGAAGAAATCCAGTCCCTCAGGTCTTTCGTCCAACGACAGGACACGGAAGCTTCCACGGATCTTTGCTCCGGGGAGTGGAGTTCTTGCCCGACCCTATGGTACCCGTGCTCACCATTTCTAGGGATCAGCGCTTGACCTTGTGTTGAGCTCGGCATGGGGTATCTCGAGTGTCCTCAGGGTATGAAGAGATTGGCTCCGGCATGCAAAGGCATGTCAAGCATGCGCAGTTTCGCCGAGCTGCGCCTGACTTGGTGGTACAAGTCCGAGAGTTTCTTAGCCTCCTCAGCTTCTTGCAGGAGACCCCAGAGACGCCGCAGCCCCTCGGTGGGCTCAGGGAGGCCGGGCAAGGTTGGGCAGCTTGGCAGCATGTCGCAGCAGTGGAAGAAGCCCCAAACACTTCAAAGTGTCAACGAAGTCCTCAGGCACAGGTGGGCATAGCAGTGAGTCCGCCACAAAAGCACCCGCTGGAACTGGAGATTGAACAGCTGCGCGATGAGACGGTGGCGGAGCTTTGGCTGAAGGTATCGCCCAGAGACATCCCTACCACTGCCATGATGCAGACCTTTTCTCTAAACAGAGACTTTATAAGATTCCGATGTTTTTTTTCTCCAGAAACGTCTGGGATTGTTCATGGCTCAGCTTCCGAGGCCCCGCCCTGGCACATCAGAACTCACAAACCTGTCCATGCGCCCGAGCCAAAACGGCTTAAGGCGTCATCATTCTCCACCGCATCTCCAAGTCAGTCGCTGCGTGTACACAATGCAGCAGAAACCACAGCTGCAACTAGGCGATGGACCAGTTTCGTGCCCACGCCTTTGACCCCTAGACGTGTGACCACATCTGAGGTAGAGGTCAGAGTATACTCAGTGCAGAGTCTTCCTGGCGATCTCCTGGAAGGCACTGAAACAGCATGAACGCAGCCTTGACGCTGCAACTGCGCTCCGCGTGCCAGGCGAGTCGAGCCCCAGCAAGTGCAGAGTCTCCGCAAGCATCGGCCTACAGTTCCAAGCCACGGAGTGGACGGTTTTGAACAAGGATCCTGCATGATCCTGCCCTCATCGGCTCTCCCTTCTCTTCTGCTGCTCTTTTTGGGGACTGTCATGAACAGTGGCTCTTTGGCAAGGCGTTGGGTAATGTTAATTCGGCCCTAACGAAGCATGCCGACCTGTCTGTGATCCGATCAGGTAGGCCATAAGGGGCATAGACCTTCTTTTTAACGGCATGTGCCAGAACCCATTCGTCTGGGCTGTCCACCTTGAGGCTTTCTGATGTGAATGTGATTTTGAAACCTGAGTGTAGCAGTCGGCGGAGCTCCAAGCTCCCTGACTCCAGATTCCAGAGGTTCGGCATTTGCTGGGCCGGGTCTCTTGGGGAGTTGCCCATATTTCGGTGTGCGGCGCATGGTCCTTCCTGCAGGAGCCTGGAAGGCCAGGTGAATGCGATTCGCTGTGGGGGGCAGCGCCTAGACTGCAATAGGCTGGCGCAACCTCGAGTTCCCAGTGTAGACCTTGCCAATGGCTTGTTCTCTCGTGCCTCTTGTTCTGTGGAATTTGCTCAGGCGTGGGGGGAGCATGGCTCGAGTATGCCGCTTGTTGGCACCTCTCAGCAAGGGTGGTACAGTAGTGTAGCTTTTTTGCAGCCTTGCTGCCTCAGCAGAAGCCAAGCACTGCAAAAAGACACCGCGGCGGACAACTTCAAAGAGTTATTGCGGGAAAGGGGGCTCCGAATATCACAAGAAGATACTTTGTATTGAGCTCAGCAGCAGAGGGATGCGAGATTATTGGAGACTCTGAGTATGACTGTGATGCAGGCTTTAGGGCCCTTCTGGTGGAGAGTGTGTTGTTTCGCTGTCTCTATTTCTTTGGGGTGGGGAAGGGGCCCGGGGGCTGGATATGCTGCTTTCTAGAATTGTCATAGTAGAGCTTAAGAGACACGGAGGACTTGCTCGTTGAATCGACAGGTTCCGCCCTACTGAAAGATACTGGTCGAGGTTTTTACCGATTAAGCCCAAATGTTTTCTCAGCGAGGGGACCAAAAAAGATAAAGAAGCAGATAGACATGTTGATCAAAAAGGGTCAGGGCTCTACCCCATTCGGTGTTCTGGCTCCAGGTCTTGCTTTGCTCAAGTGGACGACCTACCCGACAAGCTCGACTTAGTCCTCGAGATCGACGGGTGTCGTTCTGCAGCCACTGCGCTTGTAGAAGTCAATGCAGACAGACAGCACCCTGAAAGCACTTACAGGGTCGTGCTTTCAGCTTAGTGGCTTGTGGCTCAGCAGACTCTACGCGTGACTCCTTGCTTGAGGCTGTGGAAGCTGGACAACGGAGGCCACGTGGAGGCGAAAGTCTTGGTGACTCGTCCCCGCCGGCGCTCCATGAGTGGATTCTCGCAGGTACGGGCTTCGCATGCTTTGGATGCTTTGGGGGTTTCGGGTTTCTGGGGGCTCTCCGTGTGTATTCATAGATTCTATGATGCTCAGCAACCTGTTCCTGAGAGAATTGAAGGTCCCATACTTCTGCAGGGGGACCATCTCGCAAGTGGGGTTGAGCCATGCTTGTGATCTGGATCCACCTGCTCGTCTTCACTAGTGTCTGTTGACGATGATGGGTTTTCTGAAGCTGTGCTCAAAGATGACAGCTTGCAAGACATGCATTGGCATCTCACCTTTGTAAAGTGCGCGCAGCAGTTGACCGCACAACTGTGTTGTGTGCCCAAACAATACTGGAGCGGAGCATCCACATCGGCAGCCGACTTCATTTGCATCTCTTGTAGTCTTAGTTTCAGTTCTGTAATGACAGAAGCCGACCGAAACCTCGCGAGAGCAAGTTGCGCTGGGGGACTCAACCAATTGCACCTAGCGCAGAAAACGAACGCTGAACATTCACAAAGTATTCTCTAAGAACATAAGGTTCCTGCCTAACATTGCAACGCCACGCACCCCAAACTTTCAAACATCAACTTGACTTGGAGCAAGCTGGAAGCATAGCAACTGGTTGAAGGGTAGAGTTATAGTTCAATGTAATAGCATGTGCTGTTGAAAGTATCTATTCCCAAGCCTGGAGTCTATCCCCATCTGCAGGACCCCGGTGTCCGACGGGTCGTCAGATATCTAATCGGACTCCGCGCAAAACGTTCGCATTCACCCCATGAACGAGATCAGCAGAGGGACATGTGCTTCTCGGGCCGAGTATCGGTCATAAAATCCGACCTAGAACATGGCCCAAAGCATTGCCAAAGCATAGATTCTTCATTCCTGAGCCGCGGCCAAGTACGGTGGACTCGCCTGCAGACGGTAAGGGTCGAAATCCCTAGCTGCCCCTTTGTGTCCTGAGTCCTGAGTCGACAGGTGGAAGGTGAGCCTGTTCAGCACACAAACAGCCGCGGCGGCAGCCGCCCCGGCAGCCGCAGCGGCAGCAAGAGGCGATCCTCCCTGCAGACCTTTATCGGCATCGAAGCGCGGCACAAGAAGTCTGCTGAGGTTCAGGGAGTTGGGAGTTTCAGGGCTTATAAGGCTTAGGGTTTTCGAAGCCTTGGTGGCCTTGGTGTGGATGGAGAACCTGACTTCTCAGGATCCGCCGCGAATGCTGACGATCCTTGGAAGCGAGCAGGAAAGAAGCGTCTCCCTCCCCCCACCCCCGAAAAGAGAAGAGACATAGGGTAATAGGGGGCAATAAAAGCACACATGCGCACGCAAGAAAACAAGAAACAAGCAATACATGTTTCTGAAAAAGCACCACTCAGGCTCTGTCAGACTACCGCCGATGGACCCGCGTCCTTGCTGGAGAGGCTCGTGGCTGCGGCGCTGACGAAGTTCGAGTTGTCACAGTGGGGCTTGATGGTGTACGAGATTTTGCAGGGGTGGTTCAAGACCTTTTTCGGCTCATAGTTGAAAGTGCACGAGTGGTGTTTTTCTTCTCATCTTCTCGGGCGCCACTCGTTTGGCTCCTTCACGTTCCAGCCGCTCGTGGTATCTTCACAGGCTAGAGAAGCAGTTCGACGTCGACGATGCAGCCGCAGCTGCTAAAGTAATCATGCCCAACGCTGCTTGTCTCAGATTGGTCTTGGTGTCAAGCTTGGTACATGGGTGGAGGTTGTTTCCTCGTGTTTTCTCTCGTTCCTGGAGCCCCACCTTCCGTTTTCATGCGGTTGCCTCAGGATCTAAATGCTGCAATGAAGACCTTCAGGAAGGCTGTGCCTCAGCTCCAAAGTCCCTTGAACAACGCCGCTTGTCCTGAAAAGTCGTTTTGGCCCGGTTCGAGCGAGAGAGACAGAGAGAGAGAGAGAGAGAGAGAGAGAGTCGCGCGGTAGCGCGGGGGCTTGCCCCCACACCCCAAAGAAAGAAAGAGAGAGAGAGAGACAGGGGGGCTCCTCTCGGGGGGTCCTCTTCGCTGGGTAGAAGAAGAGAACGGGGGGTGGCTAAGGAAGAGCTGGAAGAGGCATGGGCTGCAAAAGAAGCTTGCAGAACGTCCCAAGACTTGAGCCTCTACCAGCCTTTATAAATCTCAGTTTCTTGGCAGGTTATCATGGAGCTCCGGCGCATCCACAGCATGGTCTTTGAAAAATGCACCAGGAACTCCCAGGGCAAGGCACACCTGGCCTTCCAGCCGGTCATCTCCTGGAAGGCATTTCAGGTAGCTTTATCCGCAATTTTGAATTTGTCAAGAGCTGCATTCTAGAGCAGGCAAAGCTGCAAGATGCATGAAACATCATGAAGTCAAGCTGGTCCCGAAACCCAGACACCCTCTCTGCAGCCCTGCTGCGCGGGTTGAGGCTGCTAAAGCGGGTGGGATACCCCCCCACGATGCAGATGAACTTGCTCACCTGTGCTCGCCGCTCAGGAGTGTCTGCTTCTCGAAGACCTGCCGAGTTATTCGGCCGGCCGTGTGGCCGGGGGCCCTTGCTTGCCAGAATTGTCATATGGCTGCTGCTCCCAAAGTCAAGATCCACCGTGCCACTTGTTATCATGACCATTGTATCAGTATTTATCAGTTATACTGCGATTGGTGTGGTTACGATGATTTCGGTATTGTACAATCAGATCGCATCATGCTACATTGCGACCAATGAAAAAATAGAGAAATGAAAAAACAAACAACTATATCTATCAAAAAAACAAAAAAAATATATATATATATATATATACATACTATGGGACATTCTCTGGCATGAAAGCAGGGAGAAGATGCCTGTGTGTCTGCTGGCCAAGGCCTTAAATCTCTTTGCAGTGCAGCAGGCGCTGCTGGGAGATGCGATCCCAACAACGGGGGCCACCAAAGCCTTGCTGACGGCGTACCAGGAAGCTCAGAAGCCCTCCAAGCCCAAAACTCGCTGGGTGAGCGTGGTGTCCTTCATGTCCACAGCGTCAATCATCCTCAGAGTCTCATCCGAACAGTTATGACCGCATGGTACATCGCCGGGTTTCAGTGGGGAGTTTTGGTCTCTCCAGCCTTGATGTACATGGCACCTTTTGCTGCGGCGGGCTGTGGCGCGTCAGAAACGCATCGGCCTCCGTGCAACCAAGGTTTTGCTTTAATGGGGCTGTCGCTGGACAACTGGCCAGATTGGGTTGGCTGGATGATTTTTGAGGCCGTGTTTGCAACCGTCTTCGTCCTGGAGATTGTCGTCAAATGCGTGGTGGCCCGTCTATCGACCATGCGGCTTACAAAGGATAGTTTGGGGCGCCACCTTCGGTAACTTCAAAGTGCATGTCCAACAGGCTCAACCAAAGTAACGTATCGAACTCAAGATGCCAAACAGTCCCTGCTTTCAAAGCTTCAGCCAACATGTTCAAGACGTTTGCATGCAGATGATCTCGTTTTTTGTCTCCTGGAAATGGAGTGGTCACCTTTGGCCTTCTTCAGGTGCTCAGTCCTCGGGAGTATGCCTGCGGATCCGACAGATATTGGAACTGGCTGGATGTTGGGCTGACTCTCGCTGCCTGGGCTGCACACTGAAGCTTGCATCATTATCAGCATGACAGGCTCTGTATCTGATAGCTTTTGGAGCGACTTCCTGCGACAACTACTTGTAGTTCGCTAGCACACATCTAGTCATCTAGTGAATCAAGTGCACAAGGGCGAGCAGCAAGCGCTTTATCCCTGTCAGCTACCCACACCTTGCCTGTTTCACTTGGACAAGTGCGCGTGGTCGAAGGTTGCAGTCATCGAGCTTTTTCTGAACATTATCTTCCAGAATGCATCGCGGGCGCCGCTCAGAACGAACCACCAGCATCTCTGATCACAAAGCTGGTAGGATGGGCACCAGAGTAGGCAGCATGACATGGGGCTGGAGGAAAATAATATTGATTCTTCGTGGCCTTCGCCTCGTCATGGCCTCGGATGCAACTTGAGGTTTCGGGATCCGATTTTAGGGCGTAGGGCTTGACTCTGTTGTCAGTGTCTGGGTCTTCGGAATATATTGGAACGAGGCCAGAGTGGCCCGTCTGGCCAAATTGATCAACATGCCTCTGCTGCAAGAGCTTGCAAACATTGTTTCAGGCCGCTTGGCTACGACCCTGTTCTTGGTTCCCGTTCCGAGGGCTGTGTTGATTACAGAGTTTCCTTTGCAACCCAGCGGATTTGTTTTTCAACTTCCTGTCTTGGATGCCTGAGGCTTCCTCATCAGCGCAGCACTCTTAGCATCCACTAGTGTCGGCCGTCGCAGGCCTGCTTTCTTTTTCCCAACAATGTGTTGCAGCTTAGGTGAAATCTCTTTTTTGGGTCGTCATGACGCTTTCCGTGGTTGTGTACGTGGCAGGCTTATAGGGTGGAGGCATGCTTCGAGCGTCGCCTTCTCCTCTTGAATCTTGCATAATCCCCAACATGTCTCAAACTTTCAAGACTTCAGGTCTGTGCGCTGGCGCTGCGGTCCTTGGTCCAAAGTTTCGCGGACCCCGACACGCTTGAGAAGTGCGGCAGCGCTGACAACGTGGACATGGATGCTGACGCATTGGGGCCGGAGTGCCACTTCGGCCGTGGTCAAGCACGTTGTTAGAAGAACTACTGCCCATAGCTAGGCTTTGAGTTTTAACCTCCGGACTGCCCGAATCACGAGCCTCTTCGCCTTCCAGCACCAAGGCCCGTACAGAGGCAAACTGCATCTGATATACGGAGATGAGTACTGCGGCAACGTATCCAGATGCATGTTCTCCATCTTCCGATGCATGATTGGCGACTGCACATCAGCAGGCCTGGACTGGATGCCACCTGAAAGGCTTCTGCAGTAGGAATGCGTTGTCCCGCCTCACAAGCATCTGCACGCCGCATAGTAGTGGGTTCAGAGGTGGCAGATCGTTGACTATGATCTTCAGCAACGGCTTTGGTCTTCGGTTTGATATCCTCTACGCCTTCAGCATGGTCTGTGCCACTCAACTGCCTTAGCTCCATGAAGCCATGAAGTTCCCGATGATGCCAAATGGACAATCAGCATGCTCTGCTAGGTCCTCTTTGGTCTCTTCAACATCATCACAGCCATCTTTGTGGAAGCGACGTTGAGACTTGTGCTTCAGCAGCTGGATTCGGTGCATGCCGACAGTGGTTTTGCGCGCACTCGGTTTGGAACGCGCAGCACAAAATGACAAGATGTCACTCACGGCAAGGAATGGCCTAAAGGAGACCGAGACCCAGCGAAAGTACGCCAAGGCGTATGAGACAAGCTACATGACTGAGCAGCTGGCAAAGCTGGTGGTTTGCGTGGCGAGTCAGACGGAGATGATGCGAGCCAGGACTGGAGGGAATCATCGGAAGTAAATCCAGCATTCTTGAACTTCTGTTTTCGGTCAATCAAAAGGAAAGGACTACCACGCGGCTTCAACTCGAGTGAGAGGCCCATCGTGACAAGCATGAGTGACGCCAGTTTAGGCTCTCGCCTCTCAACCTGCGCCTGTGCAGTTCTGATGATGACGAGTCGGTTGGCGCGCAGGGGGGTGAGATCTATCTAAGCACCTCGGTCGCCGAAGTCTGCCTGGGCCAGAAACACAGACGGATAACAGACATTGCTTATTAAAGCGGGGTGCATAGAGCGGTATTGCGCAAGGGCAAGGGTGCAAGAGCAGTGGAAAGCCTAAAGCATCTCAAGGTGAGGCAGGACGAGTGGGTGTGAGAAAACGAGCACACAGTTTTTATTCATGCGCTGGGCCACGCTGCAGCTGTTTCGTGGTGATGAAAGTCATGCTTGCAGCAGCACGTGCATGTTGCTGCTAAAGAAAGGGACGCCAGGGCTGTGGCTCTAATCTTCATGACCATGAAGGTTTCGTTTGCAGAATCTGGCAGAGGAAAGAAAGGGAATCTTCCATTCCGAACGCCCACTTTAGATGGCCTTAATTGCAGTCGTCGCTTCCTCCCCAGGTGAGGAGGAATTCAATCATGTGATCCGAAGTCCGGAAGCTGCTTGTCTGCGATATTTCACAAACACCGCGAAACGTGCCAACAAGAGTGCTAAAGAAGTTCAGGGCTTGTGCGTGCAGTGCACGATAAGCTGACATGAACCAAGGTTCGGCAGCTGCTGGATTCATTGGATGTGTGGCTTGGCTAATCATGAGCAGCCGCTAATGACAGCAGCATACAGCCGCAGCATGCCATTGGCAAGAGCACGTGCTGCCATGGGTGAGTGCCCCCCTTCCTTTGGCTATATATCGTACCTACAATGACAATATTACAAAATGAAGTATTCTATATACACAAGACACACTAGATAATCTATATGTATATATACCCTAAAGAGCTAGACTCCATAATAATGAATCTCGATGTGTGTACACATACAGTCTGTATATATATATACATATGTATATATATATAGTAATAATAAGAAGAACAAAAATACTAGTAATAATAATCATAATACTAATGGTTTTATGAAGAACAATAACAATAATATTGTGAGCTGACATGAGTGCATATGCATCTTCTGCTCTGTGATGCATTAGGACTCGGCAGACCACCTTGTAGTTTTCCTTTGCATGTAGAGTTTTGCAATTCGTATCAATGCCAATATTTTGGCTCAAGTACCGAGCTTGTGCCTTTGAGCACGGTAGAGTCGTACAGTAGCTCTTAGGTTGCTGTGCGGTCCGACCGGACGCACTCAGGCGTAGCTGCACAAGTGCTTGAACTCGCGAAGTCGTAAAACAGCGTGACCGGGCTGTGATTGCATTGGCTTAGTGCAAGTCCAGTGCTGGTCGACTTCACAATTGGAGGCTGTTCTGGGAAACGCGTACAGCTCTTGTGCCTACGGCCCGAGTGGGCAAGCATTGCTTTGCTTGTCTGTCGCGGTCCGTGACCTGGACGCGTGGACTGTGTGCCACGCTTGCGGCCTGTTAACCAAGGCGCGGCGCTTCGCGTGCCACGCCTGCGGCCTGCTAACCAAGGCGCGGCTTCTCGCCTTGTGTTGCGGCAATGTCCGCAGAGGTTGCAGGTCAGGCTGAGGGCGTCACCCTCCTCGAAGCTATCGAGGGTGGAGACGTTCCCTATCCCGAGCGGATGGGCTACGTCGCTTGGCTTAAGTGGCGTAGGGAGACTGGCAGCCGTCCGTTGTCCAAACGGGATGGGGTCAGCACTACGCCAGAGCAAGAGGCGGCTCTCTGGCGGAAAGTCATGAAGTTCCTCCATGACGCCGAAGAGGAGGACGAGGATGAAGAGGAAGAAGAAGAGGACTCCGAGCTAGTCCCGGAGGCCTCGGGCGCTGGAGGCGACAGTCCGCCGCGGGTGGACGTCAACGCCGCGGTTAGGGAGCTGGCCATGGTCCCTACCGGTGCTGCCTATGTCCCTGCTACGGCACCAGGGTCCCGCCCGGCGGGACCGTCCGGTCCGCCGTCGACTGCAGGTTCAGTGCCAGGCACCGCAGAGGGCTTGCAGGCGGAGCTGCGCGCGATTTACCGTCCAGACCAAGAACCGGTCGCGGACTACCTGACGCGCGTTTCGCGGATTGTCCTCGCGCTGAAAGCGCATGGAGTCACGGTGAGCTCCCGTGACCTTGACGCCTTAAGCACCAAAGCCACCCTCCTTGCGGATGAGTTCTCCAAGATAGGCGGGGACTGGCATCCTACGAAGATGGTCCGTCGGCTGCGGACCAGGTTCTCGGTCGCGGCTTTGCGCGGTGGCGAGGACCCCGAAGACGCAGAGGAGATTCAGCGTGAAATCCAATGCATCGGGGAGCTTATCCTCGCGTTAGGGGGAAAAGAAAGCTCGAGCCAAGAGAAGGTTTGGAGCTCCCCGTCCGATGTGCCAGTTGAAGCCGTGGGACCGCGTTCCCCAGGGCTCCCACAGCCTGCGACTGCAAGTGGGTTGGGGGAAGGATTGGACCGTGGAGGTTTGCGCACTGCTGAGGCTGCAGGTGGTCCTTCCGCGGCCCGTGTCCTGGGCGCGACGGACGGCGATTCCCCTTTGCGCGCAAAGCTTGCTGCTCTAGAGATGGAGATAGAAGCCCTGAAGCGAGGTTCAGACGGCGGAGGTTCGCAGACCGGGTCCCAACACCCGGCGGGCGATCTCGCCGCCGCACTCGCCGCCCAAACTGAGGCGCTGAAAGAAGCGTTAGCGCAGAGGGGCGGGCAAAGCTCCATAACTACGGTCAAAACTGACCTCACGTGGCCGACGCTGACCGACGACAAGTCGGACGCGCGAGACGTCGTCCTGTTCTACGAGGAGTTCGAGGACGTCTGCGCGCTGGCCAACAACTGTCGCGGTATGAGTGCGCGCGAAAAGCTGTTAGCGCTACGCGGGCGCTGCCGCGGCTCGCGCATGAAGACGTACACGAACGCGTACCGCACAGCGTGGAAATCGGGAGAGGTTCTCTCAGATCCACAGGCGGTGTATGACCGCATTAAGAACAAACACTTGATGTTCGGGGAATCGCGGGAGGAAAGAGAAGTCCGCGTGGATGGTGAGCACGCCTCTCTCGCTAAGGGTAAGCTCACAGGCCACCAATTCGAGCCTTTGTTTGAGGCTTCGATCGCGGACCTTGAGGCAGTAGGTCTCGGGAAGACCCCTCGGGAGTTGTATCTCTCATACCTCCGCAAGATGCCCCCTTATCTCCAAAAGCAGATCCGGAACGACAAAAGGTTGTGGCCTGGCGACCCCAAGGATGGCGGGTTGCGAGGACCGCAGACTTGGGAGGAGAGCCACAAAGTCGTTCTGGAGTACGAGCAGAGAGAAGCAGCGCACAGGGCTGTTTCCCACTCTGTGTACGCTGCCACCGGTTCGCAGAGCGCGGACCCGGCGGTCGCGCTGGCTGAGGCTCAGAAGGAGATTAAGAGTCTCAAGGCCGCTGCGAAGGCTGCTGCGAAAGGAGCAGCTGCCGCGGCCAAAGCTGGCGCGGACCAGACGTATGCTGCTACGTCAAAGGGAGCTGGCAAGGGAGCGGACAAGAAGATCTGCTTCCACTTTCGCGATCATGGGAATTGCCCGAAAGGGGATGCCTGCCCGTACAGCCACGACAAGGAGCTTCGCAGAAAAGCTCTCGCGGCCAAAAAGGGTGACCAAACCTTTGCCACTGCGAAAGGTAAAGGCAAAGGGAAGGGAGGTGGCAAGGCAAAAGCCAACGCAAAGCCAAAGGCTGCGGCCAAAGGCGCGGCAAAGCCACCAGGCACTGTTTGCCCCTTTTTCTCCAAGAATGGGTCGTGCAAGAAAGGAGCCAGCTGCGACATGGTCCACAACCTGACGACCTCAGGAGGGACGCCGGCCTTGCCTGCCAACTGGGCCCCGCCCTCCGGTGCTTCCATGTCTAACCCCTTCGCCGCGTTCAGTGTCCAGATAGGCAGCTCAGGCGTCCAGGCAGGCGTCTTAGGAGCCGCAGGACACGCCGCGGTGCAGCAGCACGCGCTTCCGTTAAGCAAGGGCGGGCGGGACAAGTTCGCCACCTTGGACGATCTGCCGAAGGACTGGTGGAACCTGGCCGACAACGAGCCAGGAGGCTACCAGTACAGAACGGTGGTCCAGGTCCTCGACCGCAAGGTCGAGTGCATGCTTGACGGTTGCGCCGGCGCAAACCACGTGACTGAGGAACTCGTGGTAGGCATGATGAACCGGGCCGCAGAGCTGGGGATCGGCACTGAGGATCCTGGCTTCCCGGTCGTGAGACTTGAGAAGTGGGTCCACCCCGAATATGTGCATGGCATAGCTTCGGGAGCCCCGGTTCCTCTGAAGGGGGCAGCAGTCCTGCGCGTCACGCTGCTGGAAGGCAAAACGGCGGACGACTGTCGCCCCAACACAGAGATTTTCGTGCGATGCAAAATCGCTGCCAGAGGGACGTCCGATTGGCACGGACTTATCCTTGGCGGCAGAGCGCTGGACTGCGCCGGAAGGATGGGCTTGGGATTCAGGCCGGGTCCCGACTTTCATGTCCTCGACACGCTGGGAATCAGGATGCCCAGATGTGAGGATCACAGTAGGACTCGGAAGGACAGGGCCTATGCCTTTGAAGCGCGGTTGTCTAGCCTGGACGACGCGTCGTGCACCGAGCCTGGGGGCGGAAGTCGTGAGCTCCTCCGCTATGACGGGGAAGAGCCGCTCGAGCTCTCGCCAGGTGATGGGGTGCTGGTGCCAGTCGCGCGGGAGTCAGGAGTCTCCGCGGAGGGATCCCTGTCCGAGGTTGTGCTTCCGGTTGAGTGTGGGGTCGAGGCTGTGCCAGGTCTCTGGCCCACAGGAGAGGGTAAAGGGTTTGTTTTGCTTGCAGCCCAAGAGTGTGACCACTCTCTCCAGCCGGGCGAGGTTGTTGCGGAAGTGCGTTCCGGCCTCGTCAGCACTGCGGCCTGTGG